GTCTGGGACGCGGCCACGGGCACGCTGCAGCAGACGCTCGAGGGCCATTCTTTCTCTGTCAGCGCTGTCGCGTTTTGGACTGAACTTTCTTGCGCACAAAATATTCCGCCTCTTCTATCAGTACAGAGTGAATGGCTCGCTGTAAAGGAAGTACCTGTCCTTCGTCTCCCACACGAATATAGATCCAATGTCGTGGCTGTGTACAACAACATTATCGCCCTTGGATGTCGGTCGGGATATGTTCTAATAGCCAAGTTCGATCTTTAAGATAACGCTCAACCATCAGCCCCACCCACCTCCATAGTATCTTAGTTTCTTTTTATACTCTATCCTAGGCTTGAGTACCTGATTAATAAAGGCTTAGAAATCGCGACTGATTGAGTAGCGGGAATCTTGTAGAATCTTCTTTGTACCTCAAATGTGGCTATATCTCACGGGCCCTAGCTGGCTTAGCTAGTCTTACATAAGAGAGATTGTGGAGGACGCTCGTAGAGCGTGCGTAAAGCTTGAACAATGCTGTCATCGCCACATCTCTGCGAGATCCATGCCACGTGATACGCCACATACTTTAGGCTCTGCGGATCGGCCCAACGTGGTTCCGAACAACGCCTTTCACCACGCCGCTCCTTCGCTCCTTCTCCTACTTTGTAAGTTACAGGGAATTCGGCATCGCCCAGGAAAAGTTAGACTGCAGGTCGGGCGGGTCAAGGCGGCAGGCGGAGGTGGGTTCCTTAAGGGCGACTAAATGGGGGTCTAGGTTCTGTACACAGGGAAATCGCGCGGTTCTGCACACTGGGAAATCGCGCGGTTCTGCACGCAGGGAATTCTACGTTGCCGAAAGAAGTTAGACTTCAGACAAAGAAACAGCCACAGCTGGCAGCCCCAGACTAGACAAAGAAGACTTCCTAAGTTAGATTGCACTGCCATTACCATACAATACATGCGTAATTGTTTCGCGCTAACCGAGATTGTTTAGCATTTTGATTAGATGTACTAACCTGCGTAGCGAACTTTCGCACCACATTATGTATATTGTTGATAATGACTGCCCAGCATTGTAGTATAACTGTGAGACTCGGGCTAGACCCTTTTATAACTTTCAAGAGCGGTGAGAGATTGATGGTGGTGCTGTAGCGACGAAATGCTGTTGCACCATGAAAGAGCTCTTTGCGAAAATCTGGCGATAACACAGCCTCACCCGTGTAATTTTTGGATAGGAGTGATCGCAAATGTTTGGGAATGGCTACAGCGCAAAGTCCATATGGAATTATAAAAATATTAATGTGTGTACAGATTCTATGTTGCTCTGAAGTCAAAGTGCTTTGGTTTTGGCCCGGCACACAGGGAGGCCCGGCACGCAGGGGGGGAGGTTACTAGTTTAAGTGTTATACCACTCCAATGTGCACACCCTCCGACCCCTGCCGCTCACGTGACCATACGCCGCTGTGGCTGAGTTTGGCTCAGGCTCGGCTCAGCTTTGGCTTAGGTCTCCTCAGGTCTGCTCACCTTCGCTCACTCGCTGCCTCGCAGTCTCAGAAGACCCAACAGAAATTGTCAAGTTGTAGCGAGGGGCCTCAAATTTGTCCCAGATCGCGAATCAGCGCCCCATAGTGTTTTGTAGCCTCGGGGGCTCAGGCTCCTTTTCAGAGAGGATTCTCTGCCCCTGTCCTTGTTGGCACAGAGTGTGCCATCCTACAAAAATGGTTGACCTCCTTCTCACCTTCTTGTTTCTTCTCTCATCTCTCCCGTTTCGGTTTTTCGCAGAGTCGGAACCCTATACAGTATGTCGTTTAGAGATGAAAGGGGAAGAGTAGGCTCGAATCGAGGTTGTTCGTACGGATACATGGAATTGAGCTGGACCCATGCAAACTTGACCTCCGTCTCCTCCTGTTTTTCCCTGCTTACTACCTGAGTGAAAGGTCCCAGCTCCAGATATTCCTCCTCGTAGAAACTATGGTCGCCTGACTTCTCTAGCCTTCTCGCCAAGTCGGAAAGAAGGCTGGTAGCTGAAAGAATTGATGTATTTGGTTCCGGTTCTGGGGGTTGAGCTCGTGGCATGATTAACGTATCTTGCATTAACTGGGATGGAACTAAAGGGTGGATAACAGGCAAGACGATCGAGAGGCATCGAAGAAGGGACCGCTCGACTGGGAAAGCACGATACACAAAATAGTCAAAGGTAGGAGACAGCCAGTCCGTTTTATATGTTTTGCGTACCAGTATCGGAGTGGCGTTTGTGCCATCCAGTGACTTGGCGCCGGGATCAAGCCATGTTGTCAGCCATTATATGTAAGTAGTGACAATGAGGTGAGCGACATGACTTCGAACATATGTCAACTATGTCCATTAACTCGACTTCTCCGTCCCGTTGCTCCTTCTCAGTCCACCGATCTCAACAACTAAGATCAATCTACATACAACAGTCGAAATAACATAGCGCCACAAAATAAAATTCATCACATCCCACACAGATACCAGCTGGAGCGAAGAGAAAATAATAATGCCGAAAATAATGTGCACGAACCCAAGACATCCTGCTATCACATTACCCAACACGGCGAAGAACGGGACCTTCGCATCTACATCATACTCTTCCACCTCCTGCTCCGCACACAGCGTCACCTCTCTCTGCACAGTCCCCCATAACCACCTTGCAAACAACTTCGGCCCTCCCCTAGCTGCGTTTGAATTATCACTCCTCTGCTGGACTAGCCCCCGCCCAACCCCATCAGACCGCTGCCTCGCCGCACTGCGCTGCGCAAGCGCGAAACTCACGGCCGCCACTACGTGCACCACGCTCGCGAGCGTGGTCCACAGCAGCGGCCCAAACGTCGTCGTGCAGCCCCACGACAGGATACTGTTGCGGCCCAGCTCGACCGACGTGGTCACAACATTCGCCGCCGCGCCAGCCGCCAGCAGGTACTGCACGGCACTCAGCGGACGCGCCATCCACGCCCATCGCGCGCTCACGTGCACCACCAGCAGAATGCCCCGCGTGCTACTACCAGCAGAACTCCCGAGCACGCGCACCGGGTCGCTGTGCTCGAACAAGCGCGTTGGCCAGACAGCGGGCGCGCCGAGGCTGATTAGAAACGCGAGCAGCGGCCGGTGGGCAGAGAGGAGGGAGATGTCGGCGACGCTGGGGCCGATGGTGGAGAGGAGCGTGGGCATGAGGCCGAGGATGACTATGGCGGAGTTGAGGTTGGCCATGATGTCGGCGGTGAGGTTGTCGAGAATGCATTTCTCGTGCGTGTAGCAAATGGCGAGCAGTTGGTGGGCGAGGGTAGAGTCAGCCGGTGCAGTGAAGGCAGCGTGGTAGTCGTGCAGACTTGCGTTGCAGACGCCGGTAGAGATATTGAGCAGTCCCTGGGCATTCTTCTTGTAGAAAGTTGTATATTGTGGGACCGCGGGCTTGGGGAACCCAGATGCGATGTAGTATGCGTGGGTTCTTGAGAAAAGGCAGAGGGAGAAAAGTGCAAGGAGGATGAGGGGATATCGCATCTTTAGTGCTATTCAGGGTTCCCGGCTACTATTTGGAGATACTCAAGATTCTTATTGGATGGCTGAGAACTTTGAAAATAAGAGGGGTGGCTGGGGCACTTGTACTTTAAGAAGTTTCCCTTTTGGCCCCCACCCATTGCAGAGGGGCAATTTAAGTTGCATGGTTTGTGGCTGCTTTCAGAATGGCTTGTATCTTACCTTGCTCTTTTCAAATCTCAGCCTTGTTAGTACAAGCCTACATAGGCCTTCCGAAGCAAAGTGAGGACCTCAATCTCAACCCTCCCTGTCGAATTTGTCGTGTGCAAGACACTTGGCAAAGCTTGGCACTTCTCCTGTGCGCCCCCACTTTCTGCAGCAAAGTTACTCCACCAAACCTAAATATTTTAGGGTACTCGGACCCCGTCGGGTTCTTTCAGAATAATCTGTCGATTAGCCCGTACGTAGTAAGATTATTCTGAAAGAACCTGACGGGGCCCGAGTAGCTGTTGGAAAGACGTAAACGGTGTTTAGAAGTCCTGAATGTGAGAGAAAATTAAGATCATATTGTAAACTGCAAAGCATGGTATAATATAGTGAGAAAGTTTTAATTCTGACAAAAATTAACTCCGCTTCATTACGACGTCCGTAAGTTCCCTCTATAAACGCCAAGCCCACCTCTCTAAGCATGATATCTCCCCTCTACTCCTATATCGTAAAACATCTACAACGCCAGTACAGCCCCCAACATCCCAAACACTCCCACCGCAGTCACCGGCACCCTCGTCGGAACCGCAAAACCCGAAGACGTCGACGTCGAGCTCGCCGCAGCCACCGACGCGGACAAGCTACTCAGCACACTACTCAACGACGCCGATGCTGATGCCGCAACCAAAGACGCACTAGAGAGAGCTGATGAGGCTACCGAAGATGCACTCGAGAGTCCCGATGACAGCGCTGAAGAAGCAGCCTAGACACGAATGAGCACTCCATTCCTAAGCTTCAATAGAACAGTTAGAAAATCAAGGTATCTATCTACTTACACTTTCAGCACTCTTCACAGCCCCCGTCGCCGAACTCGCCGATGTCGCTCCCCCAGTAATCGTCGTAATCGTCTCCCCGCCCTTCACCGTCGTAACAACCACCCTCGGCGCTCCCGGCACCCCCGTGCTCGCCTGCCCCCGCAGCTGCGAAATCGCGCTCTCCAGCGCATCAACATTACTCGCATACTGCGTCGGCAGCGCCGCGAACCACGCCGGGGTCGCGGACGCCGTGAACGCCGCCTCGACGACGCTGGCCGGGTCGCCCGTAACACTCGCCGCCGACGCGGCGGACGCGATGGCGGATTGCACGGACGCGGGCAGGTAGAGGGAGATGAGCTGGGCGGCGGCGGAGGAGAATTCGGCGGCGGGCGCGGTGATGGCTTGGCGGGGTTGGAGGGCGGTGGAAGGGGTGGTGAGGGTGAGGGCGAGGAGGGTGGTTTTTCTTAGGGGGAGATGCATTGTGGTCTGGTGTATGCTGGTTGATAGAGGAAGAAGGAGATATCAGAGATATTTGAGTGGGTATGAGGTATAGTATGAAAGTTAAGTCGTGAGATTCGTTAGTGGGTCGGCGATAGGACGGGAGGATGGTAATACAGCGAGCGGGCTATCGACTAGAAGAATAGTTTGACCAGCCATTTCTTTGCATCGAACGAGGTGGTGAGGAGAGTAGAAATCAGGGGTGGCTAGAACGCGGTGGCTGGAAAAAATGTGGCTGGGATATCGCGCTAGTCCCAATCCGGGCACCACCCTCAACTTCAACCATCTCAACTTACTCACAACAAGAATAGAACCTTCTCATTGACTTTCCTACTGCTTCATCAGCGAAAGAATATTCCAACCCTCGTTCCTCGAGGAACTGATCGCTCCACACGCCCAAAACAGCCATATCATTCAGTCTTGAATATTCTCGTCACCCGCCCTACCGCTCATCAACATCCCCGCAAACCCACTCGCCACAATTGAAATCGCAGCGATGAGGTTGATGATATGCCCGACCCAAATTCCGGTCTCAGAAGAGCTCCGTACGGAGTGTTCCAACCCCATAAACCCCCCGCAAAACCCACCCAGCGCACCGACCGAACTGAGGAACCCCGCCACTAGAGCCCGATCGCGGGGTGATTTCGCGTGATTGACACCGCAGACTAACAGTGCCGGCAGAGCAGGCAGTATACCAATGGCGAGGAGGATGACGGCGACGTACTGAAAGGCCGGCGTAGTCCCCCAAAGGAGGTTGGAGGCGCCGAAAATAGAGATAGTGGCCAAAATTGCGCAGATGTGGCCAGTGAGCAGAGGGTCTTTGCGGGCGCAGAGCACAGTGAAGATGATGCCGGTGATAGAGGAGACTGCGAGGGGTACCTAGAAGGGTAAGCTAAGCTGATTTGGCGAGGAAGGGTGGATGTACTGCTGAGATGATTTGGGCTCTTGTGCCCGTGTGGCCCATCTGAGCTACAATCTGTGGCGTGAAGGTGGGTATGCTTTGGAGGATGCTATTGACATGAAACAGTGCCGAAGCGCAGAGAGCCGTATGTTTATTTGCCAAGCATCGCAAACTGAATGGCGTGTCTTGATGCCGTGAAGAGTCCCTCAAGGTGTTGTCCGCATCGTCAAAGGCGCCGGAACAGCACAGCGTTTTCCAAAGGCTGGCACGAGGTATGCTCGGAGACATGGGAATCAGGAACATAGCGGCATAGCCGAGAATTGCTACAAAGTACCCCTCGAGGGCGTAGACATTGGAAATTCTGCTCGGAATGTTAGTCGACTGCTAGATGCTTTGAAACTGTCACGATTTCTATTCGGATTTGACAGGGAAATGACGCCGCCTAAGGTGCCCCAACCTGATAATCAAGTCGTCAAAGCCTTCGAAGACCAGCTCCGATCTCGCGTTAACGGAAATCTCATCTCGGCTGAAATATTCTGGGCTTCCTGAGGCACCTCAAGCGGCGGCGAACGGGTGAACTGTAGTCATGGTATGATACTCACAGGACGTGTTGTGTGATACTCCCATTCCATCGAGATACGCGCCTAGCAGATTAACATTCTAGCTTTGGAAGTAATGTCTAGGATCCTCGACTCACTCCAAGGAGTCCCCGAAAATACCACTTAATGTGCCAAAGAAAGTGCCCACGAAAACGCACAGCCCGAATCGGACGTAAAGCTCGGGTTTTGAATAGAAACGGCCAAGGAAAATAAAAATTCCAGGTAGAGCTTGGCCCCCACATAGGCCCAAAAGGAACCGCAGAGTGCGTAGCGAATGTAGGCTCTCAGCGAATGCGGTCGCAAAGATAATCAAGCCGGCAGAACCGAAGACGAGTGAGACTGGACGGTGTCAGCCGGGGTCGGTCAGGTCATTCTCACATGTGATCTTACACCAGGCACGGGTGTCTAAGACAGACTCCAAGCATAGAGAGGATGGGATTCCGATGAGGATATAAGCAATATAGAACATTAACCACTGCATCATGACTTCGTGTTGCGATATGTGGAGGTCTTGGCCGATGCGATGAATCCAGGGGTTGCTTCAAAGGGTTAGAAGATGTCTTTGCGGGCTGCCGGGCATCATCAACGACACTTACACAATGTTGCCACTAGGGAAACAAGATGTCAGCCACGTTGCAATATGCGACACAATTGAAGAAGAACATACCATGAGAGGTAAAATAGAGCGAACAGCAGCACCAAGAACGGCATGATGCGTAAATCGAACCTCCGTTTAAGGGCTGCTGCACGCACAGCTGGAGCTTCGAGGACAGTCTGACGGCGGGGCGTAGCTGGAAAAGCAGGGATGGACGGGGCCTGATATTGAGAGGTGGTTATAAACGTTTGAAGTTCGAGTCCGTCAATTTCGCCAGTTGAAATAGCCGTACTGGCTTTCTCCAATTCGAAACCGAAAGAACCAAGTCTTGGGGGAGGCGCTGAAGCCTGAATGCTGGTCCCACAGAAGCGCGTTTGTGGAAATTCCACCACAGTGCTAGCTTGGGACATAGTCCGAGGCCTTTGAAGTTGAAATCCATCACGATCTAGCTTTGATTCTGGGGGACTGGTCGAATCGATGACGCTCTCCCACTCGGAATCGCGGCTCTCAGACATGTTTAGGGCGACGCTGAGAATCTTAACGCGGTAACAATGATGAAGCGAAAGGCGTAAGATACGGGCTCTGTGGAGATGGATGCTGGTGAAGAAGCCTGAATCTTCACAAAGTTAAAAAGCTTTTGACATAGGGTAGCGGCTGTCAAGGGAGGAATCTGAACGCAACAATGGCGGCAGAAGCAAGAGCTGACTGGCGTGATTCGCAAGTGCAATCAAAAGCCTCTCCTTGAGGAAGGCGATATTGAGGGTGAAACATCTTCCAAAATTATGAACAGTGCAAAGAGTGCTAGAGTTACCTCATAAGTCTGCGGCACCAGTTGAGGCCTTGGAGTACCTTTGGCGGGTAGCGCATCTCCAGAATCTAGATTCGTAGTCGTGAAGTCGAGCGTCCTAGTTTGCCACTCCACCCAAGTTCGTAATTCGTAATAGCCATATCATGATAACTCCATCCCAATGCAGCTGCCGGAGTGCCTTCAGGCCTTTCTCCAACCTGGACATATTCGTCCACAGACAACGAAGTTCCCAGCCCCAGTCTTGATCCAGCAAAAACCAATAGCACCATCTCTTATTTCACCATCCCCTCCGAGCACCTATCGGTTTCTGCCACTGTCCATCGGCCTGGTATCTCGCGTACTCCACCTTCGCCTTCCCGTACTCCGCGGTCCAGACTTCCGCCCATTCTTGCAGGTCTTCCACAACGCCTTCTATTCCTCGCATCCACACGTACGCACCCGCCACCACTATCGCGCTCCAGAATATTACCCGTGTTGCTAGGCTTATCCAAAAGCGTACCAGTGCCCATACCCAGCTGACGAGAATGTACAAGAGTACGATGATGACGAGGGTAACCGCGAGTTGGTTGAGGTCCGTGGGAGGTGAGACAGTGTTGCTGAAGGATTGGATTTTGGCGGGGATAGAAGAGAGGGTTTGGAGATAGGAAGGCGAGTTGCGCATGAGGTAGAAGAGAGAGTCTGGTGGTCGTTAGTGAGGTGTTGCGTGGAGAGGTGTGGTGGAGTGGGGCGCGTACCTTGTATGAAGTCCATAGCTGCGGTGAGGTTGATGGGACTGTGATTAGATAAAGACAGTTTATTTGGCAGTGGGTTATTCTGCTGACGAGGGCTACAGTGGTGTGGTGGTCGGAGAGAGGTTGTGGCGGCTTAGTGACGTTGTTCAAAGGTCGCGTCTTTAAAGATCAAAGGTTCCCCGGTCTTGGCACAACCCAAGACCATCATGTGAAAGTCGTAATGGCTGCCCTGCAACACAAAGCGTAGGACACGAGTCTGTAGACACGTGCTTGTCACTGCTTGTAGTGGTTTCAAACTGTGTTTAGAAGACTAGGTGAAACGTAAGTAAGCATTTCACCTTAACCAGCCATTCAGACCAACAACATCGCGCGAGTGTCAGTAGACAAATGTGTCACACAGAAGACCAATTGTTTGTATTTTTCAATTCCATTCCATTTCTTCCGGGTGATGCAAACCACCAATCTTTATACTGCCAGAGTGTCCCCCGCCCAAAGCAGAAATCGACGACGAAGCCTACAGCTTCCCGACTAAAGAAGAGAAGAGTAACCGGTACAAAAGAGACAACGACCGATGCGGTGTGGCATGTTGCATCCTATGAATGCAGAGTTCCTCCAGGTATCAAGAATCCTCGAATAACGCCAATTTCCCATAGACTCATAGACTGAATATATGCAAAGAAATAGAAGGGGGACATGTTTCATGTTGTTACATTCGAAAAGGAGATTGAAGATCACTGCTTCGACTCGGCCACTGCGTCGTGCGGTCAAACGTGTAGACGAATTCGTCTGAAATGGTGGGTGGACATGATCGGTTTCATGTCTCGGAATGCTGTCGAGCTCGAGTGTAAATCCGCCTCTCGGATTGGCCCGAGAAGCGCTCGCTCTCCCGCGGAGACGTGTGGAAGCCAAAGTCGAACGTCGATGCCTCTGATACTGAGGGGTAGTGGACATGACCTTGGTGCTGTCGGGAAGATTTTGGATGAGGTAGATATGACGAGGACTCTTCATCAGCCTCTGACAGAGTGGGAGAGAAGGGTGTAGGTGGCCGATCCTGGAGCGACGTCACGCTGGACTTTCGGCGCGCATGGTCGGGCATCCGGATCGGGCTGGTTGGAGTGATTGAATGAGGGGGCGTCCGAGGAGGTGTACCAGGCATGTCGTATGCGACCTCTTTCTCGAAGATGTTGGGCGTCGACTTGGCGCGCACAACGGCTGGCTTTGACGGCAAGATGCCATACTTCTCCGGCCGTTGGGTGTACTTGCTGGGCCGTCTCCAGGATTCGAACTCGGCGTCGTCCAGGGGAGTGACTGCGCGCAGGGAGAAGATTCGCGTCCTCCTCTTGGATCTCTTGCGGCAGAACATGAGCAACACGGCCCCTAGTGCCAGCACAAGAGCACCCAGGACCGAGCCTAGGATGATGTAGATGTGGTTCTCCTCCATCGCCATGGTTGGTAGAGGAGGAGAGAGAAGCAATTGAAGAGTGAGTGAAGGTGGGAAGGCTGAAGGGTGAAGCTCCTTGCAGGCGATGTGTAGGGCTCAAGATGAATGGAGCATGAAAGATCGACAGCGACTGCAGACTGCACAGCTGCTGCACGCCGAGGATGCTAAAGTGGAAGGACTGGGCTCTATTGGGAGCGTGGTGACGGGTGGCGTCGTCTTGGGCCCGGACAGGCAGGAGGGGAGCTCTGATCAAAGAAGCTTAAGTGGCAGATACGAAGATTGGATCGGGCCACAGGCCAGACGGAGAAATGTGCAGGAGAAGAGGCGAGGTGCGTCGGCTCAGGTTCGAGACGGTACTGAGCCGGCAGGGACAGGAAAAAAGCAATCAAGAGGGGGGAGCAATTGAAGTCGTTGGTGGGCCCCGCAGCATCATTCACCTGGGGGAGGACATGGCGGCAGCCGCGAGATGGAGTCGACGAGCAGAAGCAGGCGCCGGGGATGATATGGGGTCGTCGAGGGGAGTCCAGGCTCAGCGGACGAGGTCATGCGCAGGCAGGTGGTTGCACGAGGCGTGCATACGGGCGGTTTGGCGGGAGGAGACGAGAATAAAAGAAACACGCTCTGACAATCGCTGTGCGCACAGGAGTGAGGGCAGCCAGACGGGTATTAACAAGCAGTGCTAAGATAAGCTTGCGCAGGAACGGCAGCGGCGCACACCCTCTGGGCAGGCCTGCCAGCACATCGGGCCTGGGACGGCGCAGTGGAGCAGCACGAGGCTGAAATATCGGTGAAGGGCCGCCACCACCGCTTCTGTACCGCTTCTGTACCGCTGCCTGGCTGCCACACCCACAAGACACCCCCCGCAGCGCCAGGCGCACCCAAACAGCGCCAGGGCGGCCGTTTGACGCCAGGGCTTGCCGTGATAGGACTGTGCGCCGCGCTGCCGTTGCTCGCCTGCCCGCGGATCCAGCGCCGTCGAGCGTCGTCCTGGGCGGCTGGCCAGATGCCGGCGACGCCTGGTGCGCGACGAGGAGCCTGCTTGCTGCGGGCCGGCCAAAGTCAAGAGAGGGAGGTCGACGGTCATGCAGATGGTGGCGCATGCTGGAGGAGGACCGCGTTTCAAAACTCCATGCCGCGCCGTCAGCGAGCAGAGCGGTTGGACGACTGCGAGGCCGCGGCGGGCTGACAGAGATGTGCTGGTCAATTGCTTCAGTGAAGCCTCGCCGTACACGGGCTGTGAATGGGCTGCAGCCCCTGACGGGCCTGAGGGCGTGACAGAGTGATGTCGGCTCGACCTGTTCAACGTCCATCTCGACGGGTGATGTTGGTGCTTGCCCCTGACCCAGCGCGGAACAAGCCCTCGCCCTTGCATCCAGCCGAGCACCTATCACACTGCTTCAGGAACACAGCCGACGACTGCCAAAACCTGTCTCTGCAATTGACTTTTGGTATAGCCCAGACTACTCCATAGCCGTGTAGTACCTACATAACGCACCATTACAGCGTGCCAGCCCGCCGGCGCACACTGCGGCGCGACCAGTGTCCCAACTGCTCCCCTCACCACCACGTCCCTCTCTCTTCAAACCAGCGCCACTGCTTCCGGACACTGCGCCGAACGGCATCTTCCCTCGCCCCTGTGCCTCGAGTTGCTTTTCTCTGCAGGTCCCGAGCAGTTGCCGGTGGCTGCGGGGCCGCACTCGCTGCTCCGGGGAAGAAACGTGATGGCGTCTGCACATCATGGCCAGTTTTCACCCGAGTCAGACGGTGGAGGCCCTCGTGGACGCGGGCCTCATTACCGCGCGACGATCGCCTAAACCGTCCCGTCCCGCAGATGTTGAAAGACTGGGGGTGAAACTGGTGATCCAGCATCTCCTGTCGTCGCCATCGAAATCCTTCGGCAGCAACGCTCGTCGCAGCAGGCCGTGCGAGTAAGGTCTGGCTGGCTTCGTCAGATCGCCGCCGCGCTGCCACGGCCGATTAGTCCTGGGCATGCTGAGCCAATCTCGAAACGCAGCCGGCGCGCCCGCTGCCCAGAGCACTACCGTCGCGCTCGAAACGGCGACGCCACAAGCGAAGCGTGGTGGTGTCGTGGACACGCTGAGAGCCCGTGGAGCTAGTATTTTGTGATCACCAAGATCCGGCAGTCGAATTGCTGGAACCAAGCGTGGGTCCTGTTGCACAGCACCGGAGCCTCCCGCACAGCAATCAGAATATGCACCAACAGAATCAGACCACAGTTGATGCCGGCCAATCGCCGTCCAGAAACGCCCATCTTCACCAAGAATGCTGACCGGGAGCGGCGCAAATGCCACCAGCCAGGCCTCTGCTAGCTTGGCTGAACTGCAAAGCTCTTCGCGGCAGCATCGTGACCGGACCTCAGCTGCCTCCTAGTGCCAGGCCGCCTGACAGCAGCCTTAATGTTGGAGGGTCGTCTCGCGATCTGAGTGGTATCGCAGACCGGATATTGAGCCAATAGTGACATCCCTATCGCCTTGTGGTCGCCCTCACACATGTCGGATGCCTATCTCTCGGCCTCGTCAGCATCCATCATCCCGTTGAAGCAGTCAAATCTGACCTCAGCTTGAACGCCGGTCCGAACTGCTTGGTGAGCAGGATCAGAGGTATGTATGGGCAAATAGGTACACCCCTGAGCTTAAAACGGTTCTGAAGAGCCGGTGGTATGTACTGGAATCCTCATAGTATTAGCGGCTCCGGCGGCGTGAGACGTTTGGAACCCTACGAAACAGCTGGAGGATGCGATCCAGGAACCGACTTCTGCCGCCGGGAATTATATCGTCACACTCAATCTGGAGCGAACGCCGTCCGTGCCCACCCACCATCTGTGACATCCCTTAATTCGGAACTTATACCTCGGAACCTAGATCATATAACCCACACGATATCCACACAAAGCTATCTTCATCAGACATTACGAGGCCAAATTTCTGAAATCCTGTTTATCTGATCCGCAACAGAAACCTTCATTTTATCTCCAAGCGAGGGCAGTCACCTGCCCCAAATACACTTTGAATGGATTCGATTGAGTTCCCGCCGGCAAGTCCCACATGCAACCAACACCACGAACCCCCCGCCCCCCCCCCTCCAAGCGAGCAATGCCGTGGACCAAAAAGCCATCGCGAGTGGCAAACTGGACCGACCCTCTCGCCAAATTCTATTGTAGCTCAAAGGTCGCTCCTGCAGGTGGTCCCCATTAGGCTCAGCGCAATGACATGCTTTTAACGGCTTGACGCCATCGGCACCCAGAATGCACCAAGAAAGGCACGCGCCAGGGACCCGCTAACTAGCTTCTAAGCTTTATCAGAAGTGGATGTTGGTGGCGGCAGTTTATCGATACAGGATAGGCTTATCTATCGCCTCTCCAGAACCCGCAAGCGCTGCGTGGCTTTGACGGCGCCCGGGGCTCGGCAGCGCATTTGACAACGCCGTCTGCACGGCCACGGGGCTGCTTTATCGATACACTAATTAGGGGAGCAGGAGAGCTAACTGTCAGATGCAGCCAACATGCACCCAGAGAGGCCAGTTGAGGCTTTTGATGCAAGCCATGAGGCGGTCAGTTACACATATATTTGCATAAGAGGTGGGAGAAAAAGCAATTAGAGAGGTATATGTAGCCGTGTCGCCACTAAAAGAAAAAGCGCCCCCGGCCTCGGGGATGCCAAGTGTTGAAGTGTAAAAATCTCTTTCATTCATTGTAGTTTTCTCAATACCGGGCAAGTTCTCAATCTTCAATGCCTCGTTATAGGTTTTGTGTACTTGCTTAGAACCGTTTGAAGTGGCCAGTGAACTCGTTAGGCCACCTCAGACAGCGACATATATGTGTACACAAACGACGTGACGTCTCTCCAGGACTCTCAAAAGCGCACTGTAGCACTACCAGCAATGGCAGAACAGTATACACAGACCTATGAGGAGGCATCATAATGAAAGACTAGCAAAAAACAACGTACTCCTCCACCATTTCCCCCGCCCCACCGACCCCATCGCGAGCTCTGTCTTCTCTCTCAATCCATTACCTCCTCAATTACTCCGCACCCATCCTACAGCTCCCTTCAGCTCGCCATGTCAAACGACCCTCGCCGCACCCATCCCCCACCGTGCCTGTCCTCACCATGCCTTTCCCAACTAGCAATCGCCCCCGGCCCCCAAATTCCTCCTTAACCAGCCCATACTGCCTGAAATGTCGACAGCGTGATCATTACACGCCTGCTCTTGACTCTTCGGTTTTTTATGCAGGGCCGGATATTGATTCGGATCATGCTATTAGACACTTTAAGCTTGACTTCACCCGTCACATAATAATTCTGCCTGCCCGCAGTCGTCTGCCGCTTCTCGAAGTCCTTCGACACTCTTTGAGAAATCCGGCGGAGCAGGGAATATGCAATGTTTGACAAGCGTGATACCTCGTTATTATCATACCACAGATAACATAGCCCATGACTGTACGGGACACAGTCACACCAACACTGCTGAACTCCTTTTCCAAGGTTCTTTTACGCAAATCATTATCATACACCCCTCAGACCTCCTCCACAACCATCTTCCCCCCTCGCCGCACCCCCTCACACCAACTCAAACCTCGCCTTCCTCTTCCCCGTACTCTCCTCCGCCTCATCACTAATCCGCACCCTCACCTTCTGAAACAGCTCCACCCTCAGCTCCCTCGACCCCCTCGTCGTGAGCACATAGCTCTCCATATCAAACTCCGCCTCCGGCTCCGGCGTCGCCAGATCCCTCAGCTTAATCGTGCTTTCAATCCCAAACATGGGCACAAAAACCACAAACCCATTCGAAAACAGCTTCATCACGAACCCCTCCTCCTCAACCACGCGCCCCTTCAGCGCCTGCCCAACGTAGTACTCGACACTCGCGCGGCCCGCAAGCTGCGCGTTGCGGTGGCGCACGTTGATGTTCTTGCACACCGCTTCCAGCTTCGGCTTGCTGTGCAGGCTGGCATCCAGCTGCTCGTACTCGATCGCGGCCGCGAGCTGCCGGTGCGCCTCGAGGTCCGCGTAGCGCCGGATGGGGCTGGTGAAGTGCGTGTAGATTTCGCTGGCGAGGCCGTAGTGGCGGAACTCCGGGTAGGCCTGCGCGCCGGCGCAGAAGTACTCGGCGGCCGTCATGCAGCGCGTCGCGAGGATGCGCACGAGGGTGTTGAAGAAGGGCTCGCGGGGGTCGATGCACGTGTCGAGCGAGTCAGCGAGCGCTTTGGAGCTGTCGGTGCGCAGCTCCATGCCGCGTTTGACCTTGAGCTGGTTCGCGAGCTCTTCGAAGTTGGTTTTCGGGGGCGAGGCGTGCCGGCGGAGGAGGGCGGTTTGGGGGAATGCGGAGTAGTTCTTGTCGGCGACGCTGATGTTAGCGAGCAGCATGAATTCTTCTACGAGAGAGTTGGTGTCGAGCTGCTTCTTGGTTTGGATGTCGACGGGGTCGGATGTTTCCGACTCCGTCTGCACTTTCACTTCGGGGCTTGCGAGGTTGAGAGCACCGGCATCCATACGCTTCTGCTTCAGCTTTTTGGATAGCATCAGCAGCGTTCTCATGCCCTTGGTTAAGTCGTCTTGGTGTGACTTGTCGTCAATTCGCAATTGCGCTTGTTCGTAGCTGAATGCTTCTCGAGATCGAATGACCGATTTGGTGAACTCGGCTGAAACAATGTCCGCATCAGGCGTGATTTCCCATAGAACAGAGAAAGCATATCGTTCGACGTATGGTTTAATGGAACAAAGATCCGTCCCTAGAAGCATGGGCAACATGTCTATCCGTTTGTCAACGAGATAGACGGTGGTTCCTCTCATACTAGCCTCCTTGTCCATAGCATTGTTTGGCTTGACGAAATGCGACACATCAGCAATGTGGACGCCGACGTGGTAGTTTCCATTCGGCAGCGCTGTGGCATGAAGGGCATCGTCAATGTCAACGCAACCAGGTGGATCGATACTGCAGATGAGCAGATTTCGTAGATCCTTGCGACCTTTCCAGCCTGGGTCATCAAGATTTGCGGGAACTTTCCAGTCGTGACCTTCTGCTGGCAGGCAGTCAAGCACAGTCTTCGGGAACGGCCGGTATTGGATGTCGTATTCCAGTAGCAATGCCTCTGTTTCGGCTCCTTTTGACTCTAGCTCTCCTAAAGAGCGAACGAAGTGACCGACCGGATACCGTGAGTCCCTGTCCCAAGCGTCGATAGTCACAAGCACTCTCTTTCCGACCAATTCGCCAGCCTGCCGTGTTCGGATCCGTATCTTGGGAATCTTCTTGTCCATGGGAATGAGGAAGACTGTCTGCTGACTCCGGCTGGCTTTTGACGTAGATCGGATCGAGTCCTTGTCGATATGGCCGACGTATTGCCTCCAATTACGTTTGATAATCCCAACAACTCGAGCAGTCGGTTGCGGTCTCCCTTCGGTAGACTGACCATGAGCTCTCTTGACTTCTTCCTGGAGAGCTCGTCTCTCTCGCTCAGAGATCACGGTCTCCCCATCATCTTCGTCAGCATTGTCGTTCTTGTTGAGGGTTTCTTCCTCGATGATTGTGGTAGAGGGCGCCTTCCATTGATCTTTTGGAAGAATTTCCACGACGGCAATATCACCGGAAACAGCGCGATTGCTGTTTTCTCGGCCTAAGATTATGAGGGGCTTGTCGAAAGCTGGTACGTGAACAGAGCCCTCGAGATAATTATATGGCGAAACGTTGAACGTCCCCTGATGCATTGTGCCGGCTTTCACCCCTGTAATCATTTTTGACATCGAATAGTACTGCATGTAATTAGAAAGCAAGACTATGACCATCACATTTGACCACTTACTTCGGGGTAGATTAGCTCAACTTTTCCGGACTTGACTTCGCGTTGCTCCTTGCCTGCGCTGACCATGTCTAGTAGTTGCCCCGAGTTCTCCAGACCTGAGACATAGTCGGTCACTATTGATAATTTAGTATTGACCTCTGTGAGAAATATGGTTGACTGACATGTGAGTGCTGGAATCTTCTCTGCTTTCGATTTCCGCAGGTTCTCTCGATCGTCACTGATCATGACGACAGTGGGGCATCTGACAGACTTTCGTGCTCGCATCGCCTCTTGAAGATGTTCGCCATACCACTGGACAGCTCGTCGGACCGCTTTGTCATTGCGGTCGTTGATGCTCTCACCTCGGTCCCGTCCGACGTAAGTCTCCAGCCGAAATTCGTTGAAAAACACAAAAAAGCGCTTGTCTTCGTTCTTGGTCAGACTGATCAAGCGGTGATAGAGAGGTAGCGAGCGATTCTTGACCTCTTCAAGAACGGTTTGCAGCACAATCACGTCATGGAAAGCCGTTTCAACCTCAAAAAGGTCCATGCCAGTAAGGAAAGCATTCGTGTCAGGCACCAGATAGTGTCCATTCGGGAAGCTTTTTGTTCCAGCGGGCGTTTCTGACAGAACGAACGGGGCCACTGATGTTATTTAGTTGATGTGCTTGAAATACTTAAATATGCTATTACCTTTGTTATTGAAGTCTGTCGGCGCAGTTTTCAAGCATTGTGAGCACAGTCTTGAAGAGCATGGTATATCCTGTCGTAAATAGAGTTCTCTGACAATCTTTTGCACCTTGCCACTCCGCGTGGACCGCACATAGACCTTGCTTGAGAGGTTTGTGGACGGATCCGAGGCCGTGGACCTCTTGAGGCTGGTCATCTTGGCTGAATACAGCAAGCTACGCCTCTTTGTTTATTAGATCTTGCGTTGAGGGAGTGAGGAGTCTAACATGCAATTGTCGTGGTGTTCAGTCCGGGAGAATTTCACGTTCACGGTAAGCGCGCCAAGACCCAGTGCAAACACTGCAAACACCCTAGCTCGCTCCTGTGACGGCAGCTCAGCTCGAGCTCCCCCAGCAGCATCGCATATCGGGCCTCGAAGAAGCAAAGAGCTCGCCCGCATCCCCAACGCCGTGACAGCTCTCCTCGAAACCTAACCCAGACATCAGACTTCTCACCCTGCAACGCCATGTCGCTGGACCCGCCCACCTATATTCTCTCGCTCCAGAACAACATCCGGGCCAGGCCCATATCGTGGGAGGGCGCAGTGCGGGCCAAGACGATTACCGATGCAGACCTCAAGAAGATCAAGTCAATTGACAAGGTGCGGAAGGAGCAGCGGAAACAGACGATAGAGGGAGACATTGACAGTTTCTGCTCGCTGTTGCTGGGCAGTCCCGGCTCACCCAGCATCTTTGAAGCTGCTGCAAAGCGGCCAGATATCATCCAGTATATGCTAGTACTGACAGGCGATATAATTGACGGTATGTAGACATGTCCAAGGTCCACGTACACAATATGGGGCCGATCAGGGCTGATTTCTGGCCCTAGATATCCCAAGTTTTACTGCGACTCTTGCGAAGCACCCCGCGCCCTTCCAGCCTTTCCTACCTCTCCTCAAGGCCTCGACGAACCCAGAAGACGCACTACCGCTACTCACATCCGCCGTTCTCGCCAGCCTACTAGGCTATGCCCTCACGCTACCGTCGAAGGATAGCACGCAAATAGACGAAGCCCTGCCTAAACTTTATAGCTACCTCTCAGCACTCGCCAAGAGCTCCGATGCAGGCCTCCAAGACATCGCGGTCCAGGAATACTCAGCGGTCCTCCGCACCAAGAAGTCACGGGAGATCTTCTGGAAACAGAGGGAAGAAACTCTCAACCCGCTAGTCGACATTCTGCGTGCAGCGGCCGGGGCAGGGAAGGACACAGACTCTACGTTATGGAGCGGTGGAGCAAGCGTGCGAAGCGCCCCTGAAGGTGGTCTCGCTGGTGGAGTCGGCTTGCAGCTTCTATACCACGTCTTGCTTGTGATCTGGCAGCTCAGCTTCGAAGGAACTCTTGTCGGAGACGGATTACACGAGTACGTACCTCTGCCTCCTACCTCTACCTCCGTAATTGCACTAACGACCAACCCAGCGAACACGACATCATAATCCTTTACGTACAGCTCCTCCGCCTGTCCCCCAAAGAGAAAACTACCCGGCTACTCCTCTCAACCCTGAGGAATCTCCTCAGCTCCAACCAACGCAATCTGCTCCCCGCCGCCGTTCTCGCCCGCCTTCCTGCTCTCCTTACAAACATTCAAGGGCGCCACCTCAGCGACCCCGACGCCGTCGAAGACCTCAAGTCCCTCATCGATATGCTAGACGAATATACCAAGACGCAGACCACTTTCGACGAGTACGCCGCCGAACTGCACTCTGGCCACCTCCGCTGGAGCCCGCCACACCGCAACCCAACTTTCTGGGCAGAGAACGCACGCCGCATACTCGAAGAGAATAAGGGTGAGCTACCCCGCAAGCTCGCGGAGATCTTGTCAAAGGGATGGGAGAGCGACAAGCAGGTCCTCGCTATCGGGTGCAACGACGTTGCCTGTTTAGTCAAGGAAGTACCGGAGAAGCGGGCTATGCTTGAGAAGCTGGGGCTCAAGGACAGGGTCATGGAACTCATGCAGGAGGCGGACGAGACGGTGAGGTGGGAGAGTTTGAGAGCTGTGGGGGAGTGGCTGAGGTATAGTTTCGAGTCGAAGTAGCGCGAACATGTTGTGTTTGATGCAGGGAGTGGGGAATGATCGAGGTGAACGGATCTCGGTGTGTATATCTGTTGTCATTATGTGCTGTGCTTGGGTAGCATCTTTCCGAAGCGCTAGATGGTTATGACAGACTTATTGTGCATCCTTCATACAATGTCTAAAATGTAGCGAGAGATTGGTGCCCTTGCAGATAACCACCTGCTGACGAGACTACTCTTACCAATCGTTGGCTACTGTGACTCGGGATAAGTATCAAGAAGCAGTCTCTCACGGCTCACGCATCCTAGACCCCCCTCGCAACCAACTTTCCCCTCCCTCTCCTACCTTTAAAGAAACAAAACATTCACCCCTCATATTCCCCCTTTGCACCTCCGATATTCCCAGCCCCTTCTCTGACTCACCCCCCCACCGCCCCCTCCGCCCCCTGTCCCCATATGTCGTCTCACGTGCACCCTTACAGGCGGTGAATCTGCTACCCACTGCAAAAGAACCAAAAAAAGAAAAGCGCAAAAAGAGAAGACTTAGCTAGCTGAGCCCGGTTTCGATCCGGGGTTCTCTGGGTGCCATATCCACGGTGTAATATGAGCCCAGCGGAATTCCTCTTTCCCACTCAGCTTTCCTGATAATTGAGAGTCGCGGCGATTTAGGCAGGACATGTAGTTTGAGAGTAGGAGCCGGATTCGAAGAGCCTGAGGGGTAAGAGAGCAGGTAGAGGCAGGGAGCTGCGCGGGCCCGTGAGGCGTGTCAGGCGGTAGGCACACAATTCACCGGATAGATGCTGAAAAGAGGGGGGGGGGGCGTAACGATATGACTCACTCACTCACGCCCAGCTTCAGCCTTCGAACACGACGAACCGAAACTGAATTGTAGTGTAGGATGGGCAATTGACTTTCCACAGCTGGCTGGGGTATAGTATAGTTCTAACATCACTCGAGAATGCAAATCCGCCTTTCGGACCCAAGATGACAAACCAAAAAAAAAAAAAATGCATACCTCGATTCCCCCCTATCCCTAATCCCGATCCCCAAGAAACGCCAGAATAAACGCACAAAACCACGTACCCAGAACTTCTAGCTTCCTGACACGCGACTAGCAATGCCGAGCTTTCCCTTTTCCTCTTCGCTAATGCCGTAGCTTCGCTTGATCCGCTCTCAGCACGATAACCCCTAGACTTACAACCGCGGCCCCTCCGCCTCGTACAAATGTCCCGTGCGACTCAACACCGTCCCCAGCCCCCGATGCACCTCCGCCTGAAACGGCTCAAACGGGATCCGCTCGCCGTCTATGCTGATATACCCGTGCGCCTGATTTTTAGGGACGATCCGGTACGCCGACACTTTCGAGTAGTGGACGAGCGGCATACTGTAAAAGGCCCCGCTTTCCACTGCGAGGAGGGACTGCACCGCCGCTTTGCGGGGTATATCGCCCGCAATGCGCACGAGGTCCATGCATCCGTCGGAGGGTAGCGCGGCGGAGAAGAAATTCGCGTCCGGCGACATGTAGGCCATGTTGCCGGCGTAGAAGTTGCCCAGGTTGTCGTGGGGCACGAGCTGCCAGTCGGCGGGCAAGGAATCAGTGACAGTGCCGTACTTAAGCTGCGGGAGGCCCGCCGTGTGCGCGGGGATGGCGCGGGAGTCGTGCGTCGGGGGCGGCTTCTCCGACTCGGCCTTGTAGGCGTCGCGGATGGTGGTCTTGTCGTCGAGCTCGAGCTTCACCGCGATGTCGGCCGGGTAGAGCGTTTTGCCGAGCAGGCGCACGAGGAAGCCGTACGTGAAGCGCACGCTGCCGAGCCAGCGCAGGTGCTCGGTGGCGAGGTCGCTTTCGGCGACGATGCCGACGGCTTGCGAGAGGAAGGAGAGCGTGCGCCGGTCGCCTTGGGTGATGGAGATGAGGTCGAGGGGCGTGCGGAGGCCTTTGACGACGGCGAGCGCGGCCAGGCTGGGGCTGCCCGTGCCGTTGAGGTTCCAGCTCATGGCGTTGCCGGAGCCGCAGGGGAGGTTGACCACGGCGAGTTTGGTGAGTGCACGCGCGGCATCTTTCTTCTGTGCGAGCCCGTTGAAAACCTCGTGGGGCACGCCGTCGCCGGAGCAGCAGGCGATCACGTCGTAGGCGTCTGTGTCGAGGTCCCTGGCTATTTCGACGGCGTGGCCACTGTATTTTGTCCGTTCCACGTCGATTTCGCAGCGGGCGGCCGCGAGTATGGGCTCGATTTCTCGATTGTATAGCTTCTGGGCGGATCCCTGGCCACCGAAGGGATTGACTAGTAGTTTCAGGCGCTTCTGTCTTTGAGATACGCCGTACGCTCGGTCAAGCAGCCTCTCAATCCATGCGTCTACGAAAGCGCGATCGGTCTTCTCCATTGTGTAATTGATGTAGGCGACCCGGACAGTCTCCTTCGATACGGTGCGCGCATAGCGGATGGTGATGTCTGATTCCGACAGCTCCGCCCAAAGGATATTGAAGAAAGGTATGGACCGCGTGGTCTTGTTTTCTGTACGATTTAGGGATTAGTCGTCGTTCTCGGGCGGAAGCTGCTGGTCATGGATTCACGAACTGTTTGGGAGGAGGCCGCAGCAGTTGGTCGCGCTCTTGCTGTATCCAAAGTCCTCGTCTGTAGGCGGCCGTTAGTTCCTGGCATGCAGTGAGATTGCCAGGCTCCTACCAAGAACTATCAGCGAGTCGGTGCCCAGAGTGAGAGAGGCACTTCTGCCGACAGGGAGCGTTGCGCCCGCGGGGATGTCTCCGGGCTGGGGCGTCTGCGTGCCCGCCACCGACGGGTCCTTGAATGGGTCGCCGTCGCTGCCAGATTCAGAGGTCATGATGGTAGATTTGAAGCAATAGTCATTGTTGGGGGGAGGAAAAGAGCTTGGCCGCGGTACATCCGGAGCGGTTGGAGGGTCGTCGTCACGTCGGCAAGCTTGAGCAGGTGCCTGGCGGCCTAGGCAGGTTTGAGTAGCGAGCATCGGAGATCGCAGCACGAACAAAGCAATACACCCGAGTGCTGGAGGCCAGCCATGCATCACCTGGATATCCAAGGATCCATGGCGACCGCGGCTGTGCTGAGGATGTAACCCAAACGCGGCACTGTAGTATGGATAGCATATGTGAATACGACACGCGCGTTTGCGCTTCCTACATAGGGAGGTCCTTTCTGCCCCTCTTCCAACTGGGCGTAAAACATCCACTCTCAATACTACTGGTTAGACAATAGATAGCTCATCAATACAGGCGCCGATCAGGAGGGTATGTGACGTTGTGGATTTGTGATTGCTTTAATGCTTCGTGGATGCCGCTCGACTACCCCCTATGACTTTTCCTAGCCCTTCCCCGCTATGTGAGCATTACAGATACTACCACTACGCCCGCGTGATGCCATGGTGGGCTCTAAATTCCCAAACACTCGACTCTGGCCTCCAGAGACATCACGATGTCGTTTTCTTCTCGCGTGCCGGGGTACCTCGGGGTGTCTAACATGTCGAATCCGCTACCAGTCCAATACATCATTCTCATGTTGAACCAACCTTGTTCAACCCCTTCAGTGATCCAAGACTGAGCGCCAGGCCCTGCGATCGACTCCGAATACGCACGAAGCCGGTTACAGGTCCGTCCTCGCTCTCCTTCTCGATGCTGAGATTGGCCAAAGCATCCTCACCTGGCCGCGTGTTAGCTGTTTTCTCGTTGTTCTCAAATGGACCATCACTTACCGAAAACGCTCCGCGCATACAAGTTCGCCGACAAGAACTGGCAGTCGCCCTTCATTGAGGCTTCTGGAGTAAGACAGCTCATGTTCGTGCAAGACATGAGCTGCTTCAAGAACTCTCTCAACGATTTCGCCTTGGAGTTGATGTTGACTTTGTTTTCCCACTCGAACTCAGTCCACATGGTTCGGAACTGTGTCTCCGTGCAGTATGCAGGTTGTATGTAATCCATGATATCAACATGGACATCGTTTAGGATTACCACGTTGGAGTCCACGCCCTTCTCGCCTTCGTAGATAACGTTGCCGAATATGACGCCGGTGTCTGTTGATGACACTTTAATCGTGGCCTGAAGATTGATAAAGTCGTGCGGCCCAACGTTCTGGGTAGTTGGTCGTTCTACCACCTTGAGGTCCCCAAGTGTGGCAAATTCAACGGTGAGGTTCTGAAGAGTTTCCGTGGTCTGGTTGACCAGGAGGACGTCGAGAACAATGTCGAACTGGTGAACGTTGATGTAGGCTTCCGCATAGACGGGATCCGAGAACCCAGTAAGCTGAACGACCTTGCTGAGTTTCGACGACAGGTCTTCGGAGCCAACATCGCCGCCAGTTGCCTTTTCCAGATCTAGCTCGAGCTCGTCTCCATCAACGTCCTTCTTCTTCAACTGTCGGATAGTGAAGACGTCGTCGATCTGGACCGCGGACTTCGCCTTCTCAGAATCTTCCTTCTCTTTTCGTTTCTTCTCCTCTGCCAGAACCATCTGCTTGAACGACTTCCGAGTGTCTTCGAGGAAGACGTTTTCAAGTTCCTTCCGTTGAGCAAATTCAGACAGGGAACGAACGCAGGAAAGAACTCTGTCAACGGAGTCTTCATCAATAGGAATCTTGACAAACTGAGACTGTCCGACACGAATGATACTGTAAAAGGTCAGTGCCGGAACAACTCTAAAAATTCTGCAGACTGTGAGACTACTCACGAAGTCATGATCAGCATAGCCTCAGCACGGAGAGCATTAGTCCGTGCGACGTCCTTTGAGATCTCGGAGTGCCTCATGACCAGTTTTGTCAATGTGCTAGAGAGAACAGAAGCAAGGTAGAAGTCCCCGTCCAGAATGAGCTGTCGTAATGGCGGCTTTTGGGAGTTCTTGACCACTTCCAACCTTGATTTCTCGCCAGAAGTAAGGGCACTCTCAGTAGCGTATGTTCCGTCGGCGAGAACCTTACGAGATCCAGAGGGAGCAGCTGTGGACTTAGTAGCGTGACCGTTGAGCTCCGCCGCTTCGAGGGGCTCCTCAAGCAGTCGCTGTTCAGATGCCAATATTGGAATTTCTCCCAAGCTTTGCCTGATGCCTTTCCAAGCGTCCCTGATATCTTTGGGTTCGAGAGAAAACTCTCCAATGATCCACAAGACACCGCGGTAAACTTTGCCTGCCCTGACCTCACTCAAGGTAGAGACAAGTCGTTCTACGATCGAAGGCCTGAGAGCGGGGAATTTCTCAGTTACTTCTTTCACGAAGGAGATGACGTCCACGGCAGATGTGCCCGAGCTGACGTCTGAGATGAAGTCCATGAGGCTTCCAACCACGCTCGCAGCAACCTCCGGGTGTTTGATTGCAGATTGATGGATTGCGTTGATTAACAGTGCCCGGTCTAATTGCGTCAGGAATTATTTCCATCTTCAAGGAAATGTTTGGGGTAGGACTCGGAACTTACACTCTGACGTTTTGTCGTATTGTTCGTCGACTGTCTTGCTAAGCTCCTTTTTTAGTAGTAGGACCACCTCCTCTACATTCTTTGACGTGACGAGTTCGAGAGCGATGTCCAGTGCCTTTTTCCGAACATCGAGATCCGGACTCGACAAAACACGCAAGATTTCCATGGTCAAGTCTTCCAAGATCGAGTCGTTCTTTTTCCGAAGCTGGTCTACTCGGTCAAGAACAATGAGCTTCACGTTGTTGTCAGTCTCGCGGATGGCCAAATCGACAAATTTGGCTGCTGCAGCTTTTACAGCCACAGGGTTGTTCGTGAGTGCTGTCAAAGCAGAGGCCGCTTCGTACACAACTGTGCCAGCGCTGGACTCCAGAAGGTCGAAAATGAGTCGTAGATAACGAGCCTAAAGGTAACGATCAGCATCAAGCCAGTTCTCGATACTCAGTATGGCGATGTACCTTGTTCTCTGGATGTGCTGCCGCATCTCTCCGAATGAACAAAAGTTCTTCCAGTTGTAACAGCTCATCTATGAACAGTCAGCCCAGGCCATAGCATTGTGAATTAGGCTTTTCTTTACCATGATTTGCGATCGAGTCGAAAACGCTGCTGAGATACTCCAAAGCCTTTTCGGGGCTGATGGTAGCCTGCAAGACCATTAGAAAAGCTTCACCAGTAGAAAGTGGATCGCAAAACCTACAAGAGCTGCAAAGGCATTTCGCTTGCAAGTGTGGTCATTCTCCTCTTCCAAGAACGTGAGGAGTATGTCGGGGGCATCCGGCATTAGACTCTCCAGATGCGTATATATCGCTGCCACAGCAAACACTGCGTTCTTTCTCACGTAAGCATGACGATGTTGTAGGCATTGCCTATACAAGAGTTAGCCTCCCCGTATAGTCTCCTCTGTACTAGTAAGAGATTATATACCTTGTCGGCTGGAGGAGAGGTTCGACGAGCTCAGCATCCCGCAACTTGCACACAAATCGTAATGTGTTTCCGCGAACATATTCGTTGGCATGCTGCAGATCGAAGCGAATCTATAGACAATGAGCCACCATGCGCTACGTTCGGCAAGTGTTGTGTCTTACAGCGTTGCAAACCAAAATCCACTCCTGCCTCAATTTCCCTTGGTTGTCATGTTTCGGTGAGACCTCGAGGAAGAAGTATAGCAATTTCTTGCTGTTTTCGCTGTCAGTGGGTGTTCGAATTGGGTTGAGAGGCGGTGAGCGCACAGTGGCTTGGACTTCGAGGGCATTACAAAACGGATGATCTGTGGAGAGTTAGAAGCGGACACATTTTGGGGTTAGATTTGATACATACATGCATGAGCAGACCGGGCTGTGGGTCGCCGTTGAGCCTGTGGGATTTATAGGTAAGTCGAGGCCCAGAGCAACGAAACGAGGGGCAGGGCGTACATTATGGAGAGAATCCTCTTCATGGTCTCGATTTTGGAGTCATCCTTGAAGCTGTTAGTACTCTGGTGATCCTAGGTCCCCCTTAAAGCAATTCCCCAAACAAATAGCCCAAGTTTCTTATTGTAAACCAAAAAGTGTCCTACATTTCCCTTCTCGAGCGCTTGCTTGAGAGCATTTGTATCCGGAATGTCGCTGGCATTGTCCTGGTGGACCAGGCTGTACGTGTAGTCCAGATAGGTAGACATGGTGGACTACTCCAATTGCGCTGGCTTGGTGCTCGGCCGCGAGCCGTCAATTCCCCTGCTGTTCCAGCGCTGTAGTGGGCTGTTGCGCGTCGGGGGTCGAATTACGAGGGGGAGGGTGGCGGGGCGGAGGAGAGATGGTGATGGATCCAGAACCTCAGAAAGGCCTTTCGAGAATTCTAAGGCAGGCGACCGAGGCGTGGACAGTTCTGGGGTCGCAGGGAGCTTGCATTGGGCGGCGGGCATCATCAACACCAGGTGTTCTCTTCAGTGAGAAAGTGGTCTTGGCATTCGGCTAGACTAGAACTCACCGGCGACGACTTCTTCAGAGCCTCACCAACCACAACCTCAACGCACTTCCGAATCCATCTACCGCAGGTTATTTGGAGTGTCAAGCCTTTTTGCACGCCATGGCTGCCTCAAGCGAACCCTTCTACGTGCGATACTAGTCAGTATTAAAACAGCCTACTTTGAAGATCCCAGCTAACGCGTTATAATCAGTTCTGGTCACTCTGGAAGATTCGGTCATGAGTTTCTTGGTATGTTGAGAAAGACTTGGAATTTGCAAAAGCTGGGGTCTGACTTTCACTCAGAATTCGACTTCAGAGCTCTCGGCGACGGACGCAGCGCCTCAGCCCGATATGCGAACAACTCAAACTACCGAAACGACTCGCTGATCCGTAAAGAGAGTGCGTGACTACTTGAATTCTCTAAAGTTTTGTGTATTGACTAAATCTTTCCCCAGTGTGCGTGAGCTCTCTCATGATTGCAGAGATCAAGAAGATCATCAAGGACAGCGAGATCATGAAGTAGGTGCCCCTGGTGGTTCAGTGAAATTCACAGTGCTCATGTGTTTCTTAGGGAAGACGACACCAAATGGCCACAGAAGAACAAGGACGGCCGCCAGGAGCTTGAGATCCGACTCGGCAATGAGCACATCTCGTTTGAGGTACCGAATCCCTCAGTAACCCGCAATAGGCCACCAGGAGAACAGGCTAACTCGCTCAACAGACCGCCAAGATTGGATCGCTCGTCGACGTGACCGAATCCCAGGATCCAGAGGGGCTCCGTGTGTTCTACTACCTTGTCCAGGACCTCAAGGCGCTGGTGTTCTCTCTGATATCCCTTCACTTCAAGGTACACTTACTTTTCGTCTGCAAACAGTTTCAAAGAATGTTACTGACAGGTCATGTACAGATCAAGCCTATTTGAGACGGTGACTGCATCTCCGGCTGGCGTTTGGATTTTGCTTTTCATGGCCAGCGAACGCTCGCATATGCACAGCGCGGCGTGAATTCACGGACCCTGCTTCCTGTTCTGCGTGGGCGGCGCCTGTGTGGGGGGAAGCGCTGGGTTCTTGGAGTCCAGAAGGATTTTGTGGGTCGGTCACTTGTCACATTTGAACCTCTCGGGTCAATTCTTCACGATAGATATTGCATAGCGTTCACTTGGCAAGGCTGGCAGGAGGGATTGCTGGTCGGATGATGATCACCTGATTGGCATCGGATTTCACATTTTCGATGTTGAATAGCATCCCACGGCGGCGCTGCTGTGGCGCGCCGACGGGCCAAATAGAGCGTGCGGACTGCTGCTGTGGATCTCTTGCAGTGAAATATCGCCACAGCTTTGTTCGAGTCCCGTGCTCCCCCGCAGCGGCGATGCAAGCCCTAAAGCGCACCCGTCCGTCTAGGCCAACTTGGAACCCTTCCACCGATGCCCTTCGAGTGTCGATGGACCTCTGCGCGCACGTCTAATTCTTGGTCCCTTTCTCTGTGTCCGCCCAATCCCAATCCCCGCCGCAGCAACTAGCACAAGCTTTTTGTCCCATGTTTGCCCGTTTCGCCCTGCCGTAATCCATCCTTCGTCTGGTCACACTATGCCAACTCCCAGTGACGACGGTCCTCTGCTCTCGCCGCCCGCTGAGCACGACGGCCACTCAGGAGGCCGCACAACCTGTCCGCCAGAAGAGACGCGCCAGTCGCCATCACGCAGCGAGAGCGAGCGCGAGCCGCTGCTTGAGGGGGCGAGTGCAGACAATTCCTTCTCACCGCCAGCGCAGCAACCAACACCGCCCGCCGAGGGCGACGCTTCTTCAGACGCGACAACCATACCAGATGTGCATAGCAAGCGACAGGAAACCGAAGAAGACGGGCCAATAAGAGACATTCCAAGTCCTCTGAGTGCCGTTGAAGAGACGGCAGATTGCGACCAACGCAATGCGCAAAATGGCACAATCTCCGCCGCTGCGTCGTCGGCCAGCGCGCCCTGGTATCATCCAGGGTTGTTCCCGTCACCATTTTCAAACGCGCGGGTGAGTCTGAGACTGATGGAGCATGCGACATTCCGCATCCGCTGACGCAAGGGCGCAGTTCCTACCGAACTCCACTTCATCCTTCCTGAGACCTGGAAGTAAATTCCACGGCAATCAGCAATCCGACCGCCAGGTGTACGACGTCCAAGTGGAGATCAAACATGTCGATATGAAGGAGTCGTTCCTGTGCGGCTACTTGCGCATCCAAGGTACACGCGACAATCAAAACAGTATGCGCACCGCTAACTAGATCCGCATAGGCTTGACGGAGGACCATCCGAGCCTGACGACCTATTTCGAAGGCGAAATAATCGGCTCGAAATACACGTTTACCACAAAGCACCCCGAATGGGGCTCCAACGAGAAGGTGGACATGCAGCACTGGGCACGATTCCAGGCGTGGCGGCCTCTTGCCAAACAGGCAAAACGACAGGACTTCACGTACAAGAACTTCGCGCAGCGGGAGCACATTTTTATGCGGTGGAAGGAGTATTTCCTCGTGCCAGACCACCGCGTCCGGACGATCAATGGTGCAAGCTTCGAAGGGTTCTACTACATATGCTTCAACCAGGTTTCGGGAAGCATAAGTGGAATCTATTTCCATGCTAAGAGCGAGAAGTACGTTGGACGCCATCCAAGTCTGCAGCATTCAGTACTAACGAGGCCTAGGTTCCAACAACTCGAGCTGAAGCATGTTCCTGATTTTGGGTGTCAAGGCGCGATTGAATTTCGATGATTACGACTGATGATTGGACTCGCATGCATTACGAAGGTATGCGATATGCGGCTGCATTTTTAGTCTTGAGCGCTCTACTCCTTTTTTATAGTGGAGTAATTTCCACCTTGGTCGATATTGGAGTGTCTTGCAGTGCGCAGACACTGGGTGTGCATTTGTTTTGATAGCCTGTACACAGACCCTCAGTCTTTAAATGCTATGGATTAATTATAGTACACAAACAGTATGCTATGTACATGTTCGGCCAAAGAACGAATGTAGCATTCACTGCCTTACGCCTGGGATCCTGTCTCCAAATCGCCCCTCTCATAAACCAAAGCCTAAATCAGCTTGATTCGAAGCTCTTGGTCATTGTATCTTGTGTGCCGTGAACTGCTGTACGCCGGAGGCGGCTCGTAGAGTCCAGCAATACCCCAAGAGTCACAAACAAGTGGTGTGATATAGAAGGTGTTTCCCTTCTCGATTGCTCAGAGCCTTGTAGCCTCATCGCAACTCAGCGAGGTTACAGAGAGACTTTCCAAACCTCCAGTAGTGCTGTGCCGATGTAATCCGTGGTAAACGAGTTACAATCACCACAAAATACGTCCTCCAATCCCGTCTCGCTTCCCATCTTCACCTAATCTAGAAATTCTCGACAACCACTAACCGCGAACACCATCAAACAACTCAACCCACTACACTGACAACATGCCAGGCGCTCCCAAAAAGCGCCAAAAGCGCGAAGAGTACAAAGAGTCTCTCAGCAAAGATGACCAAAATGGTGCCCTTCCAAAGAAAAAATTCTACAGGCAGAGGGCACATGCCAATCCATTCTCGGATCACTCTTTGACATAGTAGGATGAGTTTTCGATTGTGCTATCAATACCTTTGCTAACTAGGCGTAGCCCCAAGAGCCCTTCTGACATGGATTGGGCGTCGTATTACCCAGCTTACGCAGCTAAAAGCGACGAAAGTGAAGCCACGGTGACTCAAGCTCCAACAGAGGAGGACGCAAGCAGACAGATCACTCGGCCAGTTGAGATTGCCGATATTGGCTGCGGATATGGCGGTCTTCTCTTCGCGCTCGCTCCTAAGTTTCCAGATACGTTGCTGGTCGGTAGGTTGATCGTTTCTACATATCGTCTCATTCGCATCTCTACAACTACTTGAGGTGCTCCAAGACCTCCTCGAAAAAAGGGCACGATATCAAATGTCTCACCTCGCAACCCAGACACTCTTTCAACTTTCCGCTATATTGATCTCCAACATTCCCTTGGCTTTTTTAATGCCCCTCCAAACCACGTTCAATCCACATAGCCAACCACTTCACAAACCACAACCCTTCTAACCCACCTCCCAGGCATGGAAATCCGCATCTCCGTCTGCGAATTCGTGCAAGAAAAGATCCGCGCGCTCCGCCACCAGTCCCTCGCCACAAACACCTACCAAAACGTCGCCTGCATCCGCGCCAACACGATGAAATTCCTCCCCAACTTCTTCGCCAAAGCCCAGCTTTCCAAAATCTTCCTCTGCTTCCCGGACCCGCACTTCAAAGCGCGCAAGCACAAAGCGCGTATCGTGTCGTCGACGCTGAACTCCGAGTACGCGTACGTGCTTAGGCCCGGCGGGATCGTGTACACAATCACGGACGTCGAGGACCTGCATAAGTGGATGGTGGAGCATTTCGAGGCGCATCCGAGTTTCGAGCGCGTGGGCGAGGTGGAGCAGGAGGGGGACATGTGTGTGGAGGTGATGCGGACGGAGACGGAGGAGGGGAAGAAGGTGGGCAGGAATGGGGGGAGGAAGTTTGTGGCGTGCTTTCGGCGGGTGGAGGATCCGCCGTGGCCGTGAGCGTGCGTTGTGTGAGGCTTATGTGGTTTTTGTCGATTGTGAGATAGCAAGGCAATGGCGAAATGCATTTCACGCTCGCAGACATCATATCGAAGGCTTCGCGTGCTTTCGGAGGATGGAGGATTTGCCTTGGTCGTGAGTGTGCGTTTTGTGAGGCATATCTGTCTTTTCACGGTTGCGAGATAGCAGGCAATGGCAATAAAGGCTTCATGCTCGCAGGAATCACATCAAAGGCCTCGCATGCTTTCGGAGGGTGGATGATCCTTCTTGGCCCTGAGCGTCTTGTGAGGCAGATCCGTTCTTTCCCGATTTCGAGGTAGCAGGCAATGGCAAAAATCGTATCACATTCGCAGGCAGACGTCACATCAAAGGCATTGCGTGCAGTAAATTGCGTATATTCAGTAGAGGAAACCCTTCTCAGGTCAAAACCTCCCAGTCCATCACTTTGTGCCTATCAAGATCTCATGAAGTCCTCTGAACGATCCGTTTCCGCCTAAGTATCGATGAACACGCTGCCCCGAAGGAGTGACAAAAGGTGGGAATACATGGCCGGGGAAGGGTCGAGATAGCATAGTCTACAAGGGCCGGGTTCGCGCCCTACATCTACAAAGAAATGGTGATACAAAATGCAGAGGATGAGATCTTGGGGGTGGAAGGAGGGGATGCCCGAGGGCGAAGAAAAGAAGAGGGACGGCGGCAGGGCGAGTTGAAGTAGTTTTTGCTGAGTCTGCTTAGTCAGAGGGTGGGTGGGGGACCGTGGTTGCTTCGGGGCTCTGGAACGAAAGTTTCTCCGTGATCGGAGAGATATCTGTTCGTTATCGTGGAGTGAGTGTGGTTGTGGTGGCAGGAAGACGTGGAACGGTGGGAGCAGAACCATGGAGCAAAACGTTCTAGCAAAACGTTCAAGCAGAACCACGGAGCGGAAATAGGAGGCGTCCGACTTCGGCGACTCTTGAATACAGCAGTAGCTAGAAGGACTAAACTCAGATATTGAAGATAGTGCAAAATTGAAGATTTTCTTGACTATCCCTCCCATGTGATACAACATTTAGGTATCCTTATGCTTTTGAACACCACAAGAGAACCCGAACGCCTCGCTTTAGACAAACCCAGGAAAATCCATACCCTCAATGCTCATTCCTCAATCCCACCCTATTCCCCATCGTCCTCACCGCCAACAGCAACACCTCCGGAGCTCTCCTCGCCTGCATCTTCCTCTACTTTATTCCAATTTTTTAATCTCTCATCCGTCAGCACCTCCCTCGCACTCTTCCTAACCGCCTTCGTCTTCGACTCCATATCCAGCGCTCTTACTGGCGCCAACAGCGCCTCAAGCGGCATCTTCCCCTCCCGATCCGCATCCACCCGATCCAGCTCATCCACATAGATGTCTAGCACATGATATCTCAAGCCATTCGGGATCTTCGGGTCCGTAGAATTCAAAGGTGTAGCAGCGAGAACGTGCATACAGCCCGTAATTGTACTCGTGTTGGCCCAGCCGTGTCGCGAGAGGTAGCGGAAAGAGGCAAAGAGGTATTGACGGATTAAGTAGAGGAATTTATTCATGCTAGACGTAGTCGTATATATATATTAGCTTGATTGATTCGTGCATAAATAAAGGATGTATGGGATCTGGAGCTCAACATACCGTAACGCATCAATATTGCCCCACTCCCGCGCCATAATTTTCCAAAAGGCATCGAGAAAGGGGAGCACGACTTCGGGGCGCAGTGTGTCTACTAGAGAGGCGAGGTCGACTGCGAGACGTTGCTGGACGAGGGGTTTGTCGCTCATCCACATGCCTGTGCTGTGTGAGCTTCTCCATGTTTCCGGGTTTGAGAGGTGGAGGCATACAGTAGAAGAGCCCTTTCCATAGCTTCAGTAGCTCGATTTCTTCTATGCCTGAACGGCCGCTGAGAAAGGTTCGGAGGCTGTCGAGGGCTTTGTCGCGGATGCGCTTGTCTGCGATTATTCGTTAGCGCGCAGTGATCTTGGTGGGAGGAGTTGGGGGATAGTACCGCTGGAAGCGAACTGCTTTATGAAAGGTGTGTTTTGGGCCGTGGTCGCCATGGCTGGGGATGTTTCGGAAGTCTGGAAACTTTCGAGATGCGGGAACGTTGGAGTTGAAGAAAATCCCCAGAGGTTGTTATCGATAAGAACGCAATAGGGCTGCGTCAAGCCACACCAAGACCCTGTTTCAAGGTCGACCACTTGCAATCGATGGATTTTACAGGTTTCACAGGAGGGGAATTTCTTAGGAATTCGTTCGAGTTCCTATGTTTGAGCGTCCCAAGGTTTTCTAGACGTGCCAGCCGACCAATACATGGATTCGATCTATGAACTGGAAAGTAGTCCAGATTGGTCTAGGTGAAACACGAGACACATTCTTTCTACAGGTATTGGTTCCAGATACACTGAACTATAGGATTTTAGCGGACTATCTTTCCAACAACTCTTTGGTACAACGCAGGCATAAAAACACGTGATCTTGGAGTATGGCTTGGATTCTGTTTTGCGCTTATTATCCGCATAAACCTACGGAGAGTACAGCATTATAAAGGACTCTACTTACTAGGTCTTAGCTATCTACGTGATGCTAGTAAAAAACACTATTTATTCCAACTTAAGACAGCGCAATAGATTAGAAACTTTATTAATTTATAAGAGAAAAAAGTAGAGTAGAACTAGCATTCTTACGAGGCCTTGTAATTAGAGCACCCTTAAAATTACCGTCCCGCAGAAGTTGCCATTCCAACGCCGTTAGACCTCCGAAGCCACTCCACGGCAGCGCCAGCAGTCCGGAGCACGCAACGCTCGAAGATTTAACGTTGCTTTCATCTATGCATTAATATTATAAGACTTAAGAAATAGGAATTAGTATTTACACACCCTCTCCTTAGTAAAAGCACACCCGTCCAATCTCCTAACTGGCTGGACTAGCCGGGCCGACTCCTTGGAGCTTCCTCTCGAGCAAATAGGTGAGCGAGCGCAGGCGGCGATGTAGGTGGCGATGCAGGCGGGGATATGCGTTTACTAAAAAGGGGTGTATAAATACTAATTCCCTAAGAAATTAAGTATGCTTCTAGATAATAAGTTATATATAAGTAAAATTACTAGAACTAGAACTAGTAATTATTCTAGTAATAGATACTAAAATTTAATATTATTAGTTAAATAAGATAAATCTTTAGCTTATAGCTTTAAAAGCTATTATTAGGTAGAAGTTAGTATAATATAGTATGTAGTTAATCTACTAATTTTAGATTATTAGTAAGCCGGTATAACTTCGGTCAAATAATATAAGCTTATCTAATTCTACTAGGCTAGGTTACCTTTTACTTCTTTCTAGGAACAACTACCTTACTTACTACTAACAACAAGCTAATACATACTTGCAAAGGTGTATACACGAAGCTTGCTGCGCGCCGATCAATAAAAACGGGTTTAATTACGCACTTTACGGGCGGGGAGGGGTACGCACTTGTAAGTTTGCTTCTACCTGCGATATAATAGCCAACAGTTTTCAAAGTAGCTGGACAAACACTTTACAAACGCGTCTAAAGCATCCGTCTTAACCTTTATATATTTACTGAATTAATTAGTAGTTATGGTTGCTAACGTACACGCGTTGTTTAGAAGATGCTACCAATGGTGGTAATTCCGATCCGACAGGTTCGAAAATTAAGAAATCGCGACGTAACGCCCCTCGTAGTTTTCGCCGATTAGCAAGAACTTGACCTAACTCACTTTACTAGGTTGCTTCCATCGTCTCGAATCGGGTGAACAGCAACAAGGTACGGATCCTTCATCTCACGTGACTTTCAACCGCAAGGGTGAGATCTAACTTTCGACCTGCATCAGGAAGAGCAATACTTGGTAAAATGGTCTTCCAGCAAACCAACCAGCTATCCTGTCTTCTCTTGGCATACTTCCCAGGAGCTAGTCAATTGTTTGGAGCTACTCCAGGATCACCTAGAGGCGAAGCAGACGTGAGTCATTCATTTCTTCACTACAGAGCACCCTGGTCCTACCATCTCGCTAATTCTGATAGTAGCCACTCTTCCCGAAAGAGAAAATCTCCAGACAGCGACGTTGAGGTCGAACGTCGAGCCTCTCCATCTACCCGTTTACTACCCTCAAGCCGAGCGTCTTCCACCTCATCGACTGAGCGATCATCAGTATCATCTGGGCGAACGATCAATCCTGAGATCAAGGTATACAATGGAGTTCTCGAGGAGTCCGAAGGGGCTATCAAGGCAAAGAGTGTAAGTTGTTTGATATGGAAGTGAAGAAGCTCTATTGACCGATGACTTAGGTGACTCGACCTGACATCCCACGCATCAGTGTCGCCAATATGCCTACTCCAGAAATGGTTCAAACGGCAAGAAGCTCAAGCACGTATACGGCAGAGAATATGATCCGCAACGAAATCCTCCAGCGTCTCCGAGCTCTTCCAGGAGCCAAGATCCACCTATCGAATGTTCATGACCGCTCCGCCCCGTCTCTCCGCTTTAAGTTTATCTCGGAATCCGTGCTCCAAGAAGGTGTCTTCAAAGCAGACCCGGCGACGCAAATCGGCTGCCAGCAATGCCGGCCGCACATGGGCAGACACATCGGGTGCGAGTACACGAAGAAATGCGACTGTCTTGAGTATGCTTCTGTCGACGAATCCCGGCTTTCGGACGAGCAGAAGAAGGAGTACAGGATTATTCGAGAACAAGGGGGGTCGACGATTGGACTGCCGAAGAAGTTTCCTTACTACGCGGACGCAACGAATAGGACTGGTTGCTTGGTGCCATTCTACCTCAAGTCGCGGAATCCGATCTACGAGTGCAACGATAGCTGTGCGTGTGGCGCGTTCTGTCGGAACAAGAACGTGCAGCGTGGTCGGCACGTTGAGCTGGAGATCTTCAAGACGAAAAAGAGAGGTTGGGGTAAGTACTTCCATTGGTCATTGGTTGTAGTAACTACATATACTGACTTCAACAGGCCTCCGCGCCAAACAAGACCTCCGCGAAGGCGAATTCATCGACACATACCGCGGTGAGATCATCACAGACGAAGAAGCCACCCGTCGTGAGGAGAGCGGAGGTAAGGCGAAGGCGAGCTACCTCTACTCCCTGGACAAGTTCGCAGAATCGGAAGGGCTATCTCAGGAAGAGCTCTACGTCATCGACGGAGAATACATGGGTGGACCGATCAAGTTTATGAACCACTCCTGCGAGCCGAATTGCAGACAGTACACTGTCTCTTACAATAAGCATGATTGTAAAGTTTACGATATCGCGATCTTCGCCTGTCGCGATATCCCAGCGATGGAGGAGCTCACCTTTGACTATCTGGATAAGGACGAGGAGGAGGAGAATGAAGAAGATGCGGAGTCTTCACAGCCTAGTCAAGAATCGGTGCCGTGTCTTTGTGGTGCGAAGAAGTGCCGGAAGTGGCTGTGGACTTGAAGCTTAACGGCATGGCAGCGATAGATGGCATACTGGATATGGTGGGCACGACTATATCTTGATCTGAAGGAGGATTCAGACACCTATCAATTGGAGGTGTGCATACTGGATTGCTTTTCTTTCTTGCTTTTTCATTTTCTCTCTCATCTTATTGGTCGCATCTCCTTAGCTCACGACAAAATGAACACTCTCGGGACTTATTGACTGGTTGAATCAAAAAAGGCACCTACTTATGAAATAGATGAAGCGCAGTGCATCAACTCAGCAGAATCAACCTTGGAACCGAGCAGCCTCAAGAGCTGATAATAACAGTCAGCAAGCTATGCGATCCAAAGCAATAGCCCCTGACCAAACAAGCTCCTAGGCCAGGCCGCAAGGGGATGACACATCGCCGCAACGACTATACCGCGTTGCGCTAAAAGGAGACTCCCTGGGCCACGGCCACAGTCCTCGTTGCTATTATGTCCATACCGCCACAAACCAATCTACACTCGCCATGGCCACCTGTTTATTCTGGAATTGCTCTAGACGGGCCGCGCGGCAGGATCCGCAGGGTATCGCCGATGTAACTCGCATATCAGGCACTTCGTCGACGTTTAGTCAAGACTACAGGGGGGGTTTGCTATATTGGATTCCAGATATTGCGTTCCATGCTCTGGCGAATGACACCACGGTGAATTAGCATGCGTGGTTGGAGATGGAACGGCTATTCGCTAGAGATGTGTGGAGGTTGAGGCTTGGTCGGAATAGCTAACGGGCGGGAGTGTGGTTCGGGATATTGCTTGAGACTATGTATAGACGACGTCCAGTAGGCGAAGACGAGGGCCTTCGGTAAGTAGAAACCAGGATTAGTGGCCTCGAAGTAGACATTCAACTGTGACCCTTAGAAAATGGCACGGTATGAGACGTATGCGGAGCTGAGACGACATCTTCGACACTGTATGACACAGCCACTTGCACAATCATGTTTCTTTGCGACCGGAACATGTCGTAAATCGCGACCGTGGTCGGTGTACACGTCAATAGTATCAAGGTGTGCTGCCTAGAGGCCGTCCTTGGGAAACATATGAACCCCAACATGATTTCCAATGTTACCCCTCAGTCCATGTAAACCACTCCGGGAAATCACTACCCGCTAACTATTTTGAGTTGCGTATTAACTGGTTCATAGGTCCAATAAGGGATGAGTAGTTGGGAAGCTGGAAACTGATACTTGCGTGGGGTGGTCAATTGCTCATGATCGTGCCATTGAATTACCGAACAATTGATGATGACGTCTTTGGAATTAATTGCAACTACAAGGCCTTGATACTTCACGCTGCCTACCAATTCTTGGAGCGCCGGTGTGTTGCCCACTCGCGCCCAGAGAATCACGAGACGGGTTGATACGGATGGCAATGGGGCGTTGTGCCGGCTTCAGGGGACGTTGGGCTGGTCGGCTCCGAGTCATTACGACCGCCGCGGGGACATTCCATATGTAATTTTACGCCTTTTGGCCGTGCAGTGAAGCTGTGAATATGGTCATGCCACATGTGAAAAGCTCTGAGGGGGCTCTCAAAGGAGCTGTAGGCGCTGCAGCCGCGATTAGGGTGCTCTATCAGAGTGCTCGTGCTGTCGACATGACGATGGAGCGGAGGGGCCGGCGAGGCACTGCAAGACCCGTGGGACGGGCAAGACAGCGTAGGCTATATACGGCGGATGCACCCATAAGCAGCCGCGCAAGAGCAATTCACTGGGCCTCGGGCGTGCGTGCAGGCGTCCACGGTTGGGGGGTGGTGTGGGCGTTGGTAATGCCGACGGGCTGGGGGAGCAAATGGTCTTCGGAAGTGCTAGACAGGCGCGCGAATTTCATTTTTGCAGACCGTTGGCTCCATTTCTCGACTTTTCTCTTGCACTCCCGCCCACGCCCATCCCGTGTGCTCTTCGTCAACCAACTCGCCTCTGCTCGAGACGAGATCGCACAAAGCAGGTCGCCCGTCATCCGAGCCGTTGCGGACACGTCCTCGCCCGCTCGTCGCCGCCCCAGCGCAGCCGTGACTCGATTGTCGTGCCTGGAGTACCGCACCTCGTCTTCTCCTCACCACCCTCCACCACAAACCATCTCACCCACCCGCTCCGCTGCCTCGACCCCGCGAGCTTCGTCGCCGCTCATCGAGCCGTCGCTGTGCATCTGCTACTGGAAAAATTCCTAGAGAAGGTCAGTCTCGTTCACCGTGTCGCGCACGCTGCAAGCCGCCTACCAAACTGCTTGCTGGCCCGCTCTCCACACGGAAAATCATCTTCATCGACTGCTCGCGCCCAGGCACCGACTGCCAGTTTGCTCGCACCGACTGGCTGCCATGGACCTGCTCGCGAGCTCTGTGTGGCGGCGTGTCGGTACATATCAGACGGCAGTCGGCAGAGGCCATCCCGCACAATATATTCCCCAATCCGCGCAATTCCTCGTTTATTTTCTCTACAAATCCCCAGCTCCTATTTCCGAGCGTCCTTAGACCCACTCGACCTGGGCAACGCCCTCGAGCTCGCATCACTACATCTCCCCACTGTGTCTCCCGACGTCGTCGCTAACTCGGAGCTCACCCAGACATCCTAATAGCCCAGCTTAGCCTCGACGCGTTACGAGTCGAGAACAAGAGGCCCGCGTAGCTTGCTCAGCTTCCACCAAGCTTCCTTGCGCACCCCGACTCTCTCACCTCTTCCCCGCCTTCGAGACCGGACTCGCCCGTCTACGCCAACCATAGCCATCGGTAGACCAGCATACACTGTCTTTACAAACAGATAGCTACCGTTCAAACCAACGCATACTGGTGATCACGGAGTCCTCTGTGCGGAGAGGTTCTGAGAACGCTCCTCTCCGGACGTTGAACCTTCGCGCATCTGCGTTGGTAGACACCCTCAGTGCTCCCGCCAGGGACCACTAGACCTTGAAACGGTCGCCTCTCTGAAAGAACTTAGCCTTCCTAGGTTGTTCCAAGCAAGAGAGCATCACGCTGCGAAATGGCTACCCCAGCCAAGCGATCGGGCGGCGACGCCCCAACCGCAGCTCCATTCTCATACGCCCAGGCCGCGAAAGGTCTAAAATCTTCATCGACTTCTGCCGGAGCTCCAAGCAAGCCCACATCGGGAGCCGTCACCCCTGCGAAGGACTCCGCTTCTGGTCCCGCCTCAATTTCGACGGCGCCTTCAGGCATGAGCTGGGCGGACGATACCGAGGACGGAGTTCCTACCGAGAAAGAGTCGGATACTGCATCCACTGTCCGTGGACCTGAGACCAATGCCATGCCGCTTGCCTCGAAGCACAACCTCCCCACACAGGAAAAGCCTGCGTCCAGCGTCTCTTCTCCTGACTTTGGCGCGTCCTCTGCCTCGACCCTCCTCAAGGACGACGATGTGTCATCATTGCCCAACGCCTCTTCAGAATCCACTTGGGACAGCAAGTCGCAGACTTCGAATACGGCCGACAAAGCGGCAGAATCCAAGGAGAACACCATGGAGAAACCAAAAAAGAGCAAGGACGTAGAGAAGGCACCGCCCAAGTCGCTTCAAGAGGCGCCCATACCGATGGTGAATATCTGGAAAAAGAGGGCAGACGAAGCTGCGAAGGCCAAGGCCGCTGTACAGCCTAGTCCTGCGAAGAATGCTATCTCCTCGAATCAGACTCCCGTGAATGGGACTGGTCCTAGTCATCACGGCGGGCCTAACGGAGTATCACGAAGCGAGCCTAAGAAGAAAGGAAAGACTCCTTTCGGAGGCGATGATGCAGATGCGACAGCCACACCGAGAGAAAAGAGGCACAATCTTGATGGCAAGCCTCGAGACGATGATAAATCTGGCCAAGGTCGACGGGATGCGAGACCGGATCTGGACATGGACAAGTCGAAGAAGAATGCTAGGAGTCGAGCGCCCGAAAAGGACAGCAGAGCGACAGCAGCGACTTTACCACCTCCAGTCCGGGATCAAGAGTCGTGGCCTACACCTGAAAGCGCTTTGGACGAAGGGAGGAAGAAATCCCTAGACAAGAATCCTAAAGTAGAGAAGGAGCGCACCCAGACTAGCTCTTCGAAGCCACATGGCAAGCAGGAGTGGGTTCCAGTACCCTACACGCCCACTGTGCTATTTACCACCCCCATTCCGAATACCTCGTCTGGTCGGAGGGGAGGCCGAGGTGGAGGTCGTGGAAACGCTCAAGGAGGTGGTCGCGGAGGACCAGGTGGCGCGAATGGAACCGGTGCAGACAGAGACGCATCCGCTCCTACCTCGTTACCCAACGGCGATCACTCAAGACGAGGCAGGCCTGATGGCGCGGCTCGCGATCTATCTCCGAGCAAAGGGAAGAGAACAGGCAGTACCGGATCACCATCTTGGAGGGATAACAAGTCTGCACCAGCTGCTGGCGACAAGGCAGTGAAGTCTACATCAGCAGTAGATCCCGATATGGCATCTAGGAGAGCGTCGATCATGGATGACGGTACGACTAGCCAACAGCCTGTGGGACAGAACAACCCCAATGCTCGTCCTTATCAGCCAAATCGACCCAAGCAGGGTCGAAAATTCGACGGACCAGCTCCCACCGCCGAGAGGAGGAAGGATGGAGACATCCTATCACCCACGAAGGACAACGCGTCGAACTTTTTCAGCCGCCGAACATCAAATGCCACGCAGCTAGAAGGTAAGCAGAGTTTTCTGCACTTGTCAATTCTCATTCATGTGCTTGCACATCAATATACTAATTGCACTGCTTCAGAAGATGGTGAGAAGCGCTCCACGAACGCCGAAGGCCAAGCTTCTCAATCCAAGGCTCCAAATGGCGATCGTCGGCCTGGCCAGTACAACTCGTTCTCCGGTCGTGACCGCCCGGATCGAGGTCGCGGTGGCATACGTGGCGGCCGAGGTGGGAACCACGGTTTCCAGACTCCACACCACCCAAACAACCACCACTTTACTAATGGCAACTCTCAACCTCTTCAAGGTTCCACACCGTTTCCTTTAGCTAGGTCTCCAACCACATTCCACCCCGAACAGCAAAATTACTTCGTCCCCATGACTCAACAGTCCCGCAACTACAGAGGCAACGGGCCTCGTTCACAGTCGGTCACCTCAGACACCTTCTATGGAAGAGTGCCCAGTGGATATCCTGGTGGCCCGCAGCCGCTTGCGCCTATCCAAACATACATGGGGCAGATGTATGACTATCCGGTGATGCAACATCCGATGAGCGCGGTGCCCTACAGTCCTTCGTATGGCGACCCAAACCAACAACTGCTCACCATGGTTTCGCTTCAGATGTAAATTTCCTGTCTCCTTTCACACCCGTTTGCTGTCTCCCTTCACACCCGTTTCCCGTCTCCCTTCGCACTCGGTCTCACTAACGCAATACAGCGAGTACTATTTCTCCGTCGACAATCTCTGTAAGGATATGTTCCTACGGAAGCACATGGACTCCAAAGGATTCGTGTTCCTCAGCGTCATAGCCAACTTCAACCGCATGAAAGCCTTGACACCTGATCTGGAAATGATTAGGCTGGTCTGCTACAACTCGCCGACCGTCGAGTTCCGGGTTGGCGTCGACGGAAAAGACAGGCTCCGTCGTCGCGACGGCTGGAAACAGTTCGTTCTTAATATGCTAGAGCGTGACCCTACGGCCCAAAATGATGGATCGATAGAGTTGCACAATCCACCAGTGCCACACCCTCAAGGTTTTGACCACTTTGGCCCACGATATCCTAGCATGCCGGCAGGATCGCCTACGAGTCCCGGACCATTATCCGCCGAGGGAACCTTCCAGCACTTGAATGGTATTTACCCTAGCGCGTCAGCCACCTCTGCAGTATTGGAGAATGGTGTCAACGGATTCGTGCCTGAATTTGTACCTGCCACAGCTGCCGAAATGCCGAATGGGAATAGTGCCTCACCTTCAAACGAAAATTCTGAACCGCTGAAGTCAGTCCTCAATGGGGATGCAGACTCTTTCTCTGATGAACAGACGGCGGGACTGAGTGTTATCGTTCGGAAACAAGAACCCAAGCAGTTCTCGGACCACTCCCCTCCTCCCTCCAGAACGTTCTCGAACGGCTCAATCGACAGCCGAAACGGTGTTCCTGAAGAAGTCTCGAAGTCAGAAAACGGTCATGCCAGCCTCCACGTCAACGGAACTGGTCCTTCTCAGGTAAGGTGAGCCGTAGGCGATGGGAAACGCTTGATGGCAGGACTCTTGCTGATGCCATCGGGTTTCTAGATGTGATGGTACCAAAAAAAATGAAATCCAAAGGTCAGCAAGTCCATTTTTGCCAACCACAGCTCAAACCCCGAATCCTGTTCGTCTATTTTGGGTCAAAGATATGGACACACCTGTTGAGTCGCTCCCGCTTGATGCGACTCACGAGTCTTACGCCCACCTTCGTTCAAAAGCGCTCGACCATCGCAACAACGCCCCCACCGGTAATTGCCCGTACGACATGGATGTTCTTTATCAGTTCTGGTCCCATTTTCTTATTCGTAATTTCAACACTCGAATGTACGACGAATTCCGCCGTTTTGCCTTTGAGGATGCTGCACAAAATCTGTCGGATGTTGGCTTGAGAAACCTCATCAAGTTCTATGGGGAATCTCTTTCGAGCGAAACTACGATTCGTACGCGCATTGCTCGTCACTACGTGGATCTGGTCAAGCTGGAAAATGCGGACGCCAGCCGACCTGCCTTGATACAACTTCGGTCGGCGTGGAGGAATGGTGCGTTGAACTTGAAGAATCGGAAGAGGATCAGCGACTTCATCGACGACGAGCTTCGGAGCTTGCTTGAGAACTAAAGGCGCGTCTAACTCGAGATTTCGATGATGTTTGCAAGCGTTCTGTGTTGAAGATTCTTCGGTTCACTTCACCCTCCCCGTAATATCTGCTTTCAGCCTCCATTTTGTTTGGTCTCTGGGTAATACCTGCTGATGCAGGGTCACTTTCCTTCTCTCGGGTAGTTTTTAGGGGTATATCATGTCTTTCAAAAAGTTTTGAGTCGGCGTCAGTTACACGGCATGGGAGGGTTGCATCATTTCTTATTCCTCCATGAAAATAGACTTCCTTGGGTCGACAATCCTATTTGCGATGCCGCTTTTCGACGAAATACCTGAGCTTGGAAAGCCGCAGTGGGTTGCTTCGCAAGAGGACACGGCTGGGAGGTGGCATAGTGGCGCCTTGTTTCTGTTCTCATGACCCACTTCACCCTCTCTCTCTCTTCTACGATTGCATTGTCCTGCATGGCGGCGTTGTATGCTTCAAGATTGTGTTCTTCTGTTTGTTTGCGTCTGCACACGCCTGGACTCTCTGCTTTGTCAAGCAAGCTCTGCTGGGCTGCACTGGCCCGTAAATACAAAAAATGTTCGCTGCGTGTCTTTCTTCTGCTTCCTGTAGAACTACAAAAATATCAAATCGGTAGCAGCTGGAATTGCTAGAGTTACAGCCCTTAGCCGTGGGCCTACCTGCACACCGTATACCGCGAAGCCAGATTGACTCGACATCGCCTCTCGCCATCTATATGCTACTGAAAGAGCCGGCACAGTACAAAGCGCGGTATTTTGGGCAACGACTACGAGTTTGCTAAGTCACGCTTCGTATAGAAAATCTAAAATACCAGAGACCACGCTCAGCATTGGATTTCGCAGACTGATTTCGACTCTGTAGATTGATCTCAACACGCTCCAGCCACGGATCTGCATGGCATCTTCCACGTGATGTGCGGCGATTGGCGGCGCCGATCCCGAGGTGACGCATCCCGCCTTCGCCACCTCGCACCTCCTTCTACCTTCCCCACACTCTCCTCGTCTTCTTCATCACGAAAGAAGACAGGCCGTAAAACTTCATCATGGCCTCCGTGGCCCACCTCCACAAGCTGCTGGCTAAGAATGCGAAAGTGTTCAAGTAAGTTGACGATTAGCCTGATACAGATAACTACGACGGAACGCTGACTCTCTGCAGAGCAGCCTGGAAGCATACTGCGCGTCTTATACAGAACCAACTCCCGCCTTCTCTCAGGACTTCGCAAGCCGAACTACAACCGATCCTTGCACGACATGTCCCGCGTCAACCCATCAACCGCATTGCCTACCTCAAGCAGAGTAAAGGAAGATGGTATACCACCCATAACACTATCAATGCTGCTGTCCGACGATTCACTACTGCTGCGTCCCGCTCTGGAGCTGAACACGGCTGTGTCGCATTGCCGAAATCGAGGATTGGAGCAGCTGTCTATGGCCTTCCGGGACGCGCTCCGTTTGCCTCGACCCTTCGCCCCAACTTGACAGGAGGAGCCCTCAATCGCACCGCAGGGGGATACGCATTCGGCGCGGGTCAAGCAGGATCTGCGCGATTCTTCTCCCATTCACCTGCTGCTCCTGCACAAGTTGTGCAGAACGTCTCGCAGGCCGTGCGAGCCTTCATGATCTCGGGCCAGAAAGCCCAATTCGATGGCACCCATCCCCACAATGGCGAGAAGCGATACAAGTCGGTTACTGCTCTCCAAGCACAAGTGAATCGAAGGGCAAACAAGCTTCCCAAGGCTACGCCAGGCTCATTCATTGATTTCAATGTCAACCCTACCATCACCGCGTTCACACCGTTGAGTGCCGTCACCGGCTTCTCCTCAATCTCGTGTGAGAAGCAAAACCTCAATAGCGAGGGACTTCTCGACATCCTCTCTGTTGATTTCTCAAGGGCTCTCAAGGAACTCGCGGCTGTTCTCAATGACTTGAAGCGACTATCGGGCCTCGGGGATCTACCAATATCTTACCACTCGTCTAGTATTAGGGTCTATTTCCCTGGCTGTGATGCCGGAACTGTGGAGAAGATATGCGATGAACTAGGTGTTCAGCGTGGAGTCGTCCGCCAGGACGAAGATTTTGATGCCTACGTAGGCACCGAGATTGCTCTGCTTTTCCCCTTTGCTCCTAGCAGAACACCTTCAGAAAGTTCATTCTTCGCAAAACCGGTATCTGGAAGACAAGATCCGATTGACTGGCGCCACATGATGACACCAGAGCATAGGATGACGCCAGACCAATACTCAACGCACTCGGAAGATGGAATGGACTTTGAAGACCTCGCCGAGGGAAACCCGTGGCTTTCATCGCCGTCTGGATATGAGAGTTTGCATACCAGTGAAGCTGAGGAATCAGGGGACCTCCATACCCCATTGGAGTACCAAGGGATCGAGGGTATATATCGATTCATGGAGCATTGCGAATCTGCTCGCGTGTTCACAAGGTGATGTGGGGATTTGGCGCGTATTGATATGGATTTATGCTTGGTTTATATGGACGTCTGACCAGTGTCACCCATTGATCACAATTTCCTTTGTTATTGTATGACGGTCGTCTTCGTCGATCGCTGAAGCGCCTCTAGATGTAGTCAATACACTTAGTTGAAATTGATACTCGACATCTTAGACACATGGGAAGCGCTTGAACCAAATACTGTCCACAGGCTTCATAACAGCAGTGCGAATAGCCTCGAAATCAACCCTGTACATCATGCCTCACGACGTAGACCGTAAAGAAGTCTCCCTCTGCGGCATCCGTGTACTCCAACGACAGAGCACCAATTTCATCAACGTTCCACGTTACTTGATTCTCTCCTGCCTTTGCCTTTTCGTCTTCTCGGACGAAGTTGTCCTCTTCCACGACATCCTCGTAATTCTCCTTGAAGATTTCCATGGCCTTTGCGTTGGCGGCGTCGATGTGGGCGAACATTCCCAGGACGTTGGGTTCTTGCTCTGCGGCCGCCTGCTGCGCGTCTTTTTTAAAATCCACTTCGTGATGCACGATGAATAGGGGGAAGTTGTTTGATGTTGTGCTCGTTGTGGCGAGAGAGGCGTGCTGTTGGCGCGATTTTCGACGGGCGGCTTTGCCGGCGGCTTCTACTGCGGCTTTGACATGTTGGGGTTAGTCGCCCATTGCAGTTATGGAAAGAATATGTTGATATTGGAAAGCTCAGGGGCAGTATTGATGATTGGTAATGAACAGCTGATTCTGTTCCTGACGCGATTCCAGACTGTGGTGGTGGGCACGCGGGGCATAGAAAAGGTGGCACTCCAATTCTACAGCAAGCTGTCTCGTGTGTACACCTGTCTGCCACTGCTTGAGGTGCTTCAATGCATTTTCAGGAATCCGAACGAGATGGAACCTCTTCGCATTGGACTATGTGGAAACTCATTGAAGCCCCCAGACAGTGGCAAGCAGGTGTATACGCGACACAGAGTGCTTGATGAGTGTGCCACTTTTTTCATACCCAGCGTGGTGGAGTCGCGTCCAATCGACGTCATCCATTATAATATTTATGAAGTGCCGTAATGACTGATAATGACGATGGCGTTCAAAGAGGAAGGAGCAATCACTGAAAAATTGTTTTGACTGATGTAATAGTAGTCGCCTCTCTTGAGATTGCATAAGAAATGACCTCCGCCGCTGCTCGAACGTTCCTTTCATCTACCCCTCGATTCATCGTGCGACTTCAGAACACAACACATTCCTTCTCTTCATTCTCCACCACAACTCTACGAAAGCAAGCCAGAATGGCACCTACCATCCAGAAGCTAAACACCGGTGCTCCCATCCCAGCCATCGGCTTCGGCACCTGGCAGGACAAGGAAGCTCAAGAGCCTGCCGTCATCGCCGCCCTCAAAGCCGGCTACCGTCACATCGATACCGCACGCATCTACGGCACGGAGCCTGCAGTTGGTGCGGCTATCAAGCGCTCCGGCGTTCCTCGCAGCGAGATCTTCATCACGACTAAGCTATGGAACCACGGCCATCATCCTGACGATGTGCAGAAGGAGGCCGATGCATCGTTGAAGGACTTGGGGGTCGACTACATCGATCTCTACCTGATGCATTGGCCCGCGTCGTTTGCGAGAGGCGAGGATCTGATGCCGAAGGACTCGAACGGGAAGTTCAAGGCGGGAGATACGGACTTCGTCGATACCTACAAGGCCATGGAGAAGCTAGTGGAGTCTGGGAAGGTCAAGGCGATTGGCGTTTCCAATTTTAGCAAGGGAGAGCTTGAGAGGCTGCTTAAGGAGACGAGCATCGTAAGTCTACTTTCCGTTGCGTCACGGATTCGCCGTGTATGAGCATGAGCTTGGGGTCTTACTAACAACGACCAGGTCCCCGCCGCCCACCAGATGGAGCTTCACCCATGGCTACAACAGAAGGACTTCATCGAGTGGCACAAGCAGAAGGGCATCCACGTCACCCAGTACAGCCCCTTTGGCAACCAGAACGAGATCTACGACTCCGGCAAGAACATGGGCAAGCTCATGGATGATCCCGTCCTCGTCGAAATCGGCAAGAAGCATGGTGGCAAGTCGGGCGCCCAGGTCGCGCTCGCGTGGGGTATCACGCTTGGCCACTCAGTCATCCCGAAGAGCAAGACGGAGTCGCGCATCAAGGCGAATCTGGAGGGCGACTTCAAGTTGGATGCGGAGGATTTGAAGAAGATTGAGACGATCGACAAGAAGTTGAGGTTCAATGACCCGTCGGACAGCTTCGGTTACAAGTTCTACTCAGACTTGGACGGCGCGAAGGACTGAGAGGACGATAGTTCCCAGATTTGAGAGTCTCAGAGGCTATCATGCTTTCAGTAGCTAGCTATGATGCCCATTTTGGTGCATCAAATTTGGCCAGACGACCTGTATGATACGGAGAAGTGGCTGGGATGAAATCAAAACCTGACGATTGAACGAGAATATACTTAAACAATGCCTTTAGAACCAGATGAGACTGAGTTCTGAGAGTTGAGGTTGTTGTCGATGCTGACATCCACGTAATATCTTGGCGCTGCCCGATTGAGACTAGCGTCGGCCACAGCTCCATGTCAACTGCAGAACTTTTCCGAAGCTCCAACTTCCACACAACATCCGCAATACTACCACAACTTTGCCATCACCATGCGTTGTTGCTATCATACGATGGCCTCCCCTTGGAAGGGGCAGCAGTCTCACAGCTAACCTCAGCTGGCTCTCCACACTCACTCTAATGGTAAGCGCAAATTTCATATGCGTCCCCTGCTGCCAATGATTACACATCTTACGAACAATCCAATTCCTATAGCGTCGTGAAGGACTACATTTACTCTAGAATTACCATGAGGCACACCAGCGATGCTCATGCACTCTGTCAGAGGCTTTTGCGTTCTCATTTGCTAATGCACATTGCCGCAGATTCTTTTCCAGCCGGCTCCTTCCATCATCAACATTGACCTCGGCGCAGCTTTTAAAAGGTACATACTCTTTCTTCTTCTTCACTCCCTCCCCAAGCATTGTGATGACAATACGACATGGAAAGGCATTCCTCAATCTGAACATATTTTGTCGATACTACCGTAACTAGTTTCAGCCTTGTCTGATTTGCTCCCCATTATACATATTCTCTATGCCAAACTTCGTCGACAGCAAAGCTAACACCTCTGTTAGACTAGGTACATACACTTCTCCAAATTCTCCGACCCTCCCTGCCACACATTCTACATGACGATACTCCAACGCGTCGGGCGGACAGATCGTCGTCTTCGGGCCGACATCCGTAAACGCAGAGCGTACAAACTCTGTGGGTGCTCGGTCTGGGGATGTACTTGTTGAGAACAGCGTATTCTGATTACCGACTGCCACACAATTTTTTCACCGTGTCTCTATCAACGGACCCCACTAATCTTTGAATAGATATCAAAGGTACATACTTTTCTTCTATTTCGATCAATGGGCCATCTATACTATGATGATAAGCTATATTCACACTGTGTGACCGGCTGCCCCTAACGAGGGCATGCCCGGAATGAGCAGTAAACACTGAAAATTCTGATTTAATGAGGTATGTTCCCCCCAACGACCCTCACGATCTTGTCCGAGGCTAACCGAAGGCGCAAAGCCTGATTGCAGATGGTCCTTGACATGTTCTTCATATTTGGCATCGTACCAAATTGCTTTTCCAAGGAACACACGCTGACGCATTCATTGTTGAGCAGGTAACAACGTGCTTCTCCGCTGGTCGGACTGTGAATGGTAAGCTCACTTCCTTCTTCTCTTTCCCTTGCCACTACTCAATGATGAACAATCTTATTTCGCTGTGTTCTTACTGAGGAACTTCCGTTGAAGATACAAAACCAATCACCTTGGAGATCTGAAATAACCCCCACGTATACCCTCTTTTGTTCTAGCAAACCTTAGTCGTATGCGTAGACTAACTTGGGATAGACATACTTCGATCAAATAATTTTAGCCATGTCAAACAAATGTAATGCAACTACTTGAATACGTCTCTAAGCCTGCGTGATTATGTGTCGGGTTCCGCTTCGGTGACTATGGTCCATTATCCTAACCATTGTTAAATATATCCCTGTGACCACCCGACTTGTTGTAACGTGCAACACAAGCGAGCCGGCCACCCAAGCGAGCCGGCCACCTCATCAACTCTCAACAGCTTTGAACGTAGATTGCTCCACAACGCTAATAGATATTAACTTAATTCAACTTGCAGTCTATTGTATAATAACTTCCTCATCTTTTTGACACGTACGAGCATTATGTCCTGTCTCGCCGCAGCGCCTACAGCGCGCTTGCTGCCGTGCACTTCCACCCGGGCGCCTCCTATTTTGACGCATTTCGCCCTCAATTTGTTTATTAGCTTCCTTTTGAGCGATTATATCAGACCCCTGTGCCTTTGTTAGGACTCCTTGCCTCTGAATTCGCTTTCTCTTGCGCTCTCTACGCTTTGTGGCGGCCTCATTCGCCTTTTGAAGGCTTGTGACCTGATCGCGCAATAACACTGCCCTATGCATCTGCATCTCAGCGCCTCTAACAAGCAAATCAAGCGACTCAAGAATCGCAGTAGGAGAGCTATTTTGATGCATTTGAATGCGATTACAAATCAAAGCTGACTGAGAGCCTAGCTCAAGAGCATTGCTTGGTGTTTTTGATTCCCATTGAGCCTCCACCACGGCGAGAGGCGACGGCGTACAAAGCACAACATCAAGCTTTGAGAGCACTGCCTCTGGATCAAGCGGCACAAGGCCGGCGCCTCGAAAGCTTGCGCAAATATTGCTCTTT